TTCGATTTCATCGCATTTCTCCTTCAGCCAGCGTTCCTTCGCTTCCTTTATCTTTGTTTTTATATTGTTACTTGTTTCTTGATACTTCACAACCTAAATTACGTACATTAGCAAATTTTTTCGCGTTTTTTTTTTAAAGCAGTAGTGCAGAACTTTTTAGAGCGGCAGTCAATAGAGTCCGCATAGCCATGATGATTTCCAACCTTCGATAGAATATGGAACTTAAAGAAGAAGAAGCAAATTTGTCTGTGTCTTCAGCTCTTCTGATGCATTCTTCGTAGTCTATCCTGTCCATCTTATAATGGCATGTAACTATGAAAGTTTTTCCTAGCATTTTTACACCTATTTGACCTTTTATTATTAACTGTGAAATATAGTATATTTGATACGTCAATAATAGATGGCCTACATATAAGAAGAATAAGTCGCTATTATAATAGAAATGAAGATTAAAGTAAAGGTTTTGATGAAATTGAATAAAAATAAGTATGTTACGTACACTTTTGTGGCGGAAGCTTTCAGACTAACAGAATTTCCAGCCTATAACCATCTCGGTAAGTGCCGTTCTGTATTTTGTGCAGCATATACCCAAATGCTTCAACAAATAGTTCCTGTAACAAAGAACTATCTGGTCATTTTCTCGTAGTTCTATATAGACTGCATATAATGACAATTTAAACGATAAGAAGTAGTTGTAATTTTAGTTCGATTTAGCATTAGTTGCCTTGTATAAATAAATTTATTCTAGAGAAAAGTATGTATAAATGAGCAGGGCATTTGATTTTAACGTTACACTATATTGATTCTTCATTTCAAAATGATACTTACTTCAATGCCATGCCTCATAGATAAGCAAAGTATTAATATGTTGAACCTGGAAAAATTTGACAGCTGTCATGTCAACTGTTATTTTGACGCCTGACATGATGCTGACTTAATGCTTACTTCACGCTAAGTTGACATTAATTTGACACTGGCATGACGCTGACTTGATGCTAACTTCGCAATGACTCGAAGTTAATGTCGCCTTAGCGTGAAGTTAGCATTAAGTAAGCTGTCATGTCAACTGTCAAAATGTTCCCAGGCTGAACCTCCCATGCTCTGCTGAGATATTATTTAAAAATATATTTTGAACATTGTTCAGAAAATTAATATTAACAATAAACAATTACATTGTAAAATAACTAAAACCAACAGTTAATCGAGAATAAGCTGCAAAAGACAACATTTTAGACCCTGTATAATATAACATTAACAATAATCTCAAATTAATCGATTTGAGCGTTACAATTGCATTAAATATGTGGACGAAATATCTCTATGAGTGGAATGGGTTGCATTTTAGAATCTAATGATACGGAATGTTTAAATGTGTATAACTACTTAACGACTAGTGCAGTTCCAGCAGAAAAGAATTCACTGTTATGATTACCAACTATCGTCAAAGAATGGATATAATAAAAGGTTCGTACTCATCAAATTGCAAAAGCAAACGGTTTCATCAGAAGTTCTCATAGAGTCTTATATTTTTTGAACACGCCTCGTATAATACCGAGATTGCGCAGAGAGATAGTCGATCTTGTAATCTTCTTCTTCTAGTGCCGTCTCCACTAATGAAGGTTGACTATAACCATTGCAAATTCGTCTTTATCTTCTGCTTTTCTTAAGAGCGTCTGTGTGTTTAACCCGGTTAAGTCGCGAATGTTTTTCAGCCAGGATATCTGTCGTCTACCAGGACCCGTTTTTCCTTTAACTTTACCCTTCATAATCAACTGCAACAACTCGTAGTTATCATTTCTAAGTATGTGCCCCAAATATGCTGTCTTTCGCCCTTTAATGGTGGTCAAAAGTTCTCTGTCTCTCCATTCTGTGTCAACACCATTTCGTTCGTAATATGATCGGTCCATGGTATCTTCAAAATTCACCTAAAAAGCCACATCTCAAAAGCTTCCATTTTTCTCATTAAGTCAACATTAACAATCCAGGCTTCGACACCATAAAGAAGAATAGATTGGATAAAATTTTACCATCCGATATCGGATTTGCAGATTGAGTCTTTGATTACTCAGAAGTTTCCTCATCTTCAAAAGGGTTCTTGATTGCTCTATTCTTGAACGAATTTCTGATTTAGGATTCAGATCTTTATTGTTAAATCAAACTGTTCCCCAGTATCACAAATTGTGTTTAGTAACGTCTACAAGTCTGTCTCACTATCATTATCAGCGATAATGACTGTATCGTCAAGATAACGGATGTTATTTATATTTTCACCATTTATCTTGATCCCTTCTGTACAATTTTCAAGTGCTTGCGTAAATAACTCTTCGGAATATATAATAAATAGTAATGGTGAAAGTACACAGCCCTGTCTCACTCCTCTACTTATCTGTTGCGTATGCATGCTATTTTTTGTGAGATCTTATTGTAGTATTGTTAATAGTTTAAAGATAATTTGCACAAGATTTTCAGACCGTTTTATATCCATTTGCCGATCATTGCATTGGTTTGAAAATGTATTTCCAAGTAACTGTCATGAAGAAGAAATTTTTTAGCGATATATTTTGCCTGGCATAATTTTTCGTTTCTAATTTTGCAAACATCTTAAATATAAATAAGTACAAGAAAAATAGTTGACATCAACATAAAAGAACTAAATGCAACCACAAGACAATGCAGAAGTCAAAATGGCGACCTATTAACAATAAGGAAAGTTGTATTGAATAGATGGGTAGAATACTTTAACCAGGCACTTAATAAAGAGGAAGAAGAAAAAACCTGGAAGACGAAAGAGATGAGATAAGGGAAACAGACGAGAGGAAAGAGGAACCACCAACAATTTTTGAAGTTAAGGAAGCTGTTAAAAAACTAGCCAGAAACAAATCACCCGGAATAGATAATCTCCCAGCTGAACTATATGAAGAATGAGGCCATGATACCATTATGGCATTACAGCAGCTTATAAAAGAAATATGGACACAGAAATCCCTTCCCTTTTTCTTAAGGTGCCCTCTGCATTATTGGCTATAACTACAGCAAATTGCTCTCTATCTAGAGCTGTTCGTAGTATCGAATATGTGTCCATGCCTGTTCAGTCTCTTACATTTTTCAGCCAGGAGCATTTTTTTCTTCCTGGACCTCTTCTTTCTACCACTTTCCCTTCCATTATCAGTCGTAGGAAGTTTTATTTTTGTCCTCTTTTAATATTTCCTAGATAACTCGTTTTTCTGTTTTTTACAACATTTAGGAGTTCTCTCTCAGTCTATATTCAAGAGAAACGTTCAAAGCAATGAAAGAGCTAGAAATATCAAATCAATTGGTCATTAAAAGTAACTCATGAAAAAGTTGAATGTAGAGTACGAATTCAGAGGGAACTATCTGAACCTTTTAAAACAAATAACATGCTGCGCCAGGGATACCCTCTCCTGTATACTGTTTAATCTGGTTCTGGAAAAAGTAATACGTATATCACAAATCACAACCACTGGTTCAATTATATAAATCAGTGCAAATCCTGGCCTATGCTGATGATATCAATATTGTTGGGAGAACGAAAAACGCTGTACGAGAGGCGTATGTAGCATTAAAAGAATCAGCTACATAAATGTGTTTAATAATAAACACCAACAAAACGAAGTATATGAAAATAAGCAAGCAACCACAAATCCTACAACCACTTGTTATAAAAAACGACGTCATCGAAGCAGTGAACGAATTTGTATAACTGGGAGCGCTCCTTAACACTGAAAATAATACTACCGCAGAGAAAAACCGCAGAATTTGCACCAACAGATGCTATTTTTGGGCAATAATACGCCCAATCCTAACATATGGTTCAGAGACCTGGACTCTAACAAAAAATAATGAAAACATGTTAGGTGTTTCGAAAGAAAAGTACTAATGGAACCTATGGAGCAGTGAATGACAATGAAGTGTGGAGAAGACGATACAACTTCAAACTTGATAGAATATATAGGAACCTGATATCGTAAAACATATTAAGATAGGACGTAGGAGGTTGATAGGGCATCTAATGCAGATGGAACAAAATGACCCACCTAGAAGAACGCTCCTTGATAGACTTATTGGTCAGAGAAGAAGAGGAAGACCCAGAACAAGGTTCCTTGATAACACCAATGAAAACATGAGAAATATGGGAATACGTGCTTGGCGGAGAAAGTCGATGGATAGGGACGACTGGAGAGAAATTCTTAGAGAGGCTAGGACCCTCGTAGGGTTGTAAAGCCAAAATGATGATGATGACAAGGAAAATTTATAAAGTGTATAGATATTATATTTTGTAAAGTACAAAAATATAAAAGGAGTTCGTGAAATGGTCCTTTATTAAATTACCTCTTACCTTTTTTGTTATTTTGCAACACAATTTGTAAACCGCTGCAAAACGATCCTTTTGAAGTAGAACTATATATTTTTTCTATAATTAGATAATAAAAAGAGGCTTATTATTACTTTGAAGAGAGACTTTTAAAAATTTGCTGGTCATCACAGAGAAATTATTCGGAGAGAAAGAGATGGATGAACGCCGAGACTTGACTACGTGATTTTTAAACGTCGGTTACAGGTCGAGTTTACTTTTCCTACTTACATAGTTTCCGGTAATTTTGCTCCGCATCAAGTGGACGTTCCAAATCATTACTAATTTTTACAAACTGTACCCAGATTTTTGGTCAAATTATTACTCTGTGAATTCTTTTCCGGTTTTTTTTGTTAATTTAATACCTGTTACTAATTTCTGAAATTGTAAACTGTTGTAGAATTTTAAAACTGGACAAAATGTCTATTCAAATATGTTGAAACTATCGAAATATTTTGATGAATAACAATTATAACTGGGCGGCAACCGCGACTCTGAAAATCACAAATTTACGTGAACCCAAACGTCGAAACTTTGAATTTTGTATCACACTTAAAGCAGCACGTGAGGTGAATGTAAACGACTCGTCTTCTCTTTTCGTGTGCCCTTTGGGGCGTAGTGTCGAACACTAGGCTTGTATTTTTACGTGCTTTGACAACTTCGATTTGACTCTGGGATTCTTCAAGCAAGGTTTTTCGCCCATCAAATGATTACTCCAGGAATTCTCCTCCATTTCGAAGTTGTCGTGGCATAGAGGGCACCGATTACAGCTCTCTGCTAACTCTACAACAAAACCGAAGAGTTAAGATAAACATGGCTTTCACTTTTTTCACACAGTAATTTTTTGTACTATTTATGTACGAGCGCTTATATTTTTTAGATGTGGCAACAGTGGTATAGAAATGTCAAAGTTAACGTACTGGCATTGTAAAGTTAAACTTAATGTAAAACCAAGACGAATATTATTTGTATGCCAACGTTTTGAACGCGTGTATCATTAAAATATTTAAAGAGAGAAAAAAAGTGGGATTTTTAGAATTTAAATCGTATTTTAAAAATTAAATGAATGAAGTAATTTTGTTGTTTATTATTTTTTTATAGACTTTAGTAAAATTGAAAAAGTTTACAGGTTGTATAATGGATTCCACTCGTCACATAATTGGACACTTTTTTTACTGTGATTGCATTTTACCATAGAAAAAAAGTAACACAACGCCAATATAGAAGCTTTCCTTAAAAATGCATACGATTATCCTTAAACTAACCTAAATCGTGAAATAGCATGACTGGTTTTGAATATTTATTTTTGTTAAGGCTGTTTTAGTAGTCAAAGCACACTGCGATTTGAAATAGATTTTCTACACTGATAAGTCCAGTCGACGGGTACAGCTGTTTACTCAGTTGCGCCGGCCGACGGGTAGTTTAATGACAACAAATACATTATTCTCTATTCAAATTAGTTTTGTCGGGAATACCTTTTTTGATTGATTATCGTAGATGTTTAAAAAATAATTATCACATTTTTAATTTATCAGTCTTAGCTAAATATAGAATTGAATAAAAATTTGTGAAACGTGCCTTCCACAAACATCATGGTGTTTATTTATAATAAATTTAAAATAACATAAAAATATTATTACCAAATAAAATATAATTTCTTGTCACAAACAAATCAAACTAACTGACCGTACGTTCATGAGATTTGACGTCACGAAGGCGATAACGCTGAAACTAAGTGCCAATAATGAGTAACACGTTATACTATTAGATTTCAGTATTTCTTAACCATTTTTTTTTAAGTTTGAACATGGTTTTCTCGATTATTACTGTACACAGAAAGGTGAAAAAAAATCAACGATTACAGAAAAGAAACTCTTTCAAGTGATGGGCGTAAAAAGTTTGGTTATAATAGAACGTTAAACTACATAATCCGATATTTCAAAAGAATTTTCAAAAAAGTTAAGAAAGTAAAACCACCAGTTTAAAGGCAACATAATTTTGAATAACGTGTCCAAATTTCAAGACATTTTGTCGGTAAATAACAAAGAAAACACTGTCTCTAGGTATTGGTGTACCGATAAAACAGCCTTAAAGCAGAATTTAAAAACCAATATTCATGAAACTCGTCTCTGAGCAAATTAAACAGCAACTTACACCCTTCCGTTCTTCTTTTCTACCAGCACTCTTATAAAATTCTCCAAGAACAACGTCTACTCGCGCCCCAATCCTGGTTACCGCGAAAAAAAGGGAACAGTCATTCCTTGAATTTATATTTATATATTTTGTCGTCTTTGGTTAAAATTTACGTTGTATTTAAGTTTTAGGAACAATATTAAGATACGCAGTCACAATATCTACGAATATGCAGTCAAAAATTCTAAGATAATACATATTTTACTATTTTTGAGTATATTATAACAAATTAACCTCAACCTAAAACCAGACACGTGTATTAAATTAAATAATTTTTTCCACTTCTTCCAGTTGTTTGCTTCCTCTCTCCAATTTCCACTCCTTTACCATTTAAATCACCTTTAACTGCTTCTAACCACTTTTTTCGTAGTCTTTCTCTCTTCATTTTATCTCCTCCCCCTCCAAAAAGTACCTTTTTTACACAACGTTTCTCTGGTATTCGAGTGATGTGACCTAACCACCTGACTTTTTCTGCTCGAATGTTTGTACAGTTAGGGATTTCCATATAGTCCATTGTCTCTTTATCTGTTTTTCTTCGCCAATTTCCCTTCGCCGTCCTAATACCACCAAAAATCTTCCACAACACCTTTCTTTCCTAGATCTCGATTTTCATTTCATCTTTATTATTCACAGTCGAAGTCTCTCGGGCATACACTGCCACTGGCCAAATGACTGTTTCATATATTCGAATTTTTGCTGCCCTACATACATGTTTTGCTTTTAGAATATTGCTTAATGAGCCCATTGCTCTACTTCCTTTTAATAGTTTTTTTTCCCATTTCTTTTTCTTGTTTCCTTTTATTTGCTATTATTAAACCCAAATACTTGAACTGGCTGACATTTTCAATTTTGTAATCCTTTCCTCTCGTTTATATGTGACGAATTTATTGTGTTCTTTTATGTCAATGCGCATTTCCGTATACTTTGTTTTCGCTTCATTTATCAAACTATAAAATTTTCTTGCTTCATCTTTTTTTGTTCTTGTTAAGAGAACTGCATCATCTGCGTACGCTATACATTGCTGTTTATAGTGGAAAATGGTACCCGTAGTTTGGATCTTATTTTCTCTCATTATTGCCTCCAACACAAAGTTAAAACAGATCACTAGAAAATGGATCCCCTTGTATCAATCCTCTTGTAACCGAAAATAGCTTGACATACATGCTTCTATGACCACTCTATTGTTTATACTTGTTAGCGACATTTTCAATGATTTTACCAACTTTTTTGATATCCTAAATTTTGTAGAGCTTTATACGACTTTTCCCGATCGATAGAGTCATACGCCTGTTTAAAATCAATGAAGAGCATATAAAGTGCTAAGTTTTATTCGTAACTGTTATTTTGTATCAATTTTAAGGTAAATATTTGATTCACTGTCGATCGTCCTGCTCTAAACCCTCCTTGCTCCATCTCTCTGGCATTTTCTTCTCTCTCCAGACTCTCAGTATCAAAGTACATAGCTTTCTGTGCAGTGTGACCCCTCCTTCCTTTAAAATTTCCGCCAGGATTCCATTCTTCCCTGCCCTTTTACCGTTTTAAGCCATTTTATTGTTTGCTTTATTTCCTATTGGGTTGGTTCCTCTACGTACTCATCGTATTATCCTCTGATTGGCCCATTGCCTCATCTTTTTGCATCTGTTCTGCATTATTTAGTTGTTCTTCAAAATATTGTGCCCATGTGTTTAATTTCTCTGCAGTATTTCCAATGAGCAGTCCTTCTTTATTCCTACAAAAAATTGTTTGCGTGTTATTTCTTTGTCTGTTTCTCTCCACTTCTTGATAGAAAATTTTTATTTATTTGCTAATGTAATGCTCCTCTATTGTTTTAATTTTCTTTCCAAATATTCTCCTTTTTGCCTGCAGATTCTTTTTGCTTCTTTTGTTTTCCTCTCAGGTACTGTAATTATTTCTTGGGTTCTAGTATTGTCTTTTTCCAGCTTTGTCCTATTTCTTAGCATTAGTGCTCTTTTACATTCCTCGTCGAACCAGTCTTCTTCTCTTTTCGCTTCTGTATTGCCTAAGCAAACATTAGCTGCTTCTGTCATTGATGTTTCGATTTTACTCCATTCTTCTTCCAATGTATCAGACATTAAGTTGTCTTCCTCTAATCTTGCGTTAATCTCATTTTCTAACCTCTTTGCCACTTGTTGGTCCTTAAATAAGGCCCCGCTATATCCCTTTTTATCTTTTAAAACATTAAGTTTGACAGGTAGATCTTGTTTAAGTTTGGCTATTACCAATATATGATCACTACTGGCATCTGCACCTCTATAACTTCTGCAATCTCTGAAAGCTCTGGCATGCTTATTTTCTATTAATATGTGATCGATTTGATTTTAACTCTGCCCATCTGGGGATATCCACGTTACTTTATATATGTCTTTATGGTCGAACTGTGTATAACTACCTAATCCTTTATAAAATTTAAAATATTATAAGCTAAAAGTTAGTGAATTAAAAAAATTTCTAGCCGGCGATGATCTAACCACAGACCTCCGCGTGACAGGCGGGGGTACTCACTACTACACTACCCAGTAGGCCATTTGAATCGTGGTAATTGTCAAACGCGAAATTGTTTAACGCCCGAAATTTGAATATTCATTGAGTTTTCTGATCTTTTTCAATTTTCTCTGCAATTGTCTTATTTTTTTTTTTTTTCGAAAGAACCTTCTACACTTGTTCTCTGTACTACTTGTTCTCAAGTTATAGCGTGATATAGGAAGTTCTACCTAGTGACATAGTTCTACATACCTCTACATTCTGATTTATGCTCCTGGTACTTCTCGATTCTGACAGCCTCTGAGCAATGAGCGCACTGTGAATAACTCTCCCTCTGGTCGCATTCCATAAGTAAATGTTCCGTTAAAGTAGAAACTTCCACTACCTGGTTACATTCCTTGCAACGAATCAACATAGGACACGACCTCCAGTAATGAGAATTCATAGAATTGTTTATTAAAAATATTGACGATTCGGATTGTTTACAGAAGATGCATTGTCTAAAATTAAAACCAGATGTGATTAAAACATTACTGTTTATTAAAAACAAGTATTAAAAAAATATTTTTTATAATAATTCAGAAAAAGCTACCCTCAAATACTTCAGAGACTATTGAAGATTTCAAAAAAGTCATTAAAAATCTCAGTGTATTGTGAGTTCCTCCAACAAAACTTCTAAATAATTCCAAAGCAGTTTATAAATCTTCTAGAAACCCTCAAATTATTCCTTGGCTATTCTAAAACATTCTAGACTTTTATAAAATCTTTAGTAGATAACAAAACATTTCATGGCAGTCACAAAATACTCCTGACTACCATAAGGTCTATCAGTAGTTTCTACAACAGTTGGAGTCTGTTCTGGATCACCGAAAGAGTCCACGATGCTTTTAAACCTTCAGATTCTGGAAAAACAAGAAATAATACGTCCTTCAGAAACCCCTAAACCATTTAGGATCTGATTTGGAGCTCCAAATAAGTTTATACTGCTTCGAAGTCCTGGAAAAGCTGGAATATTTCAGACATGTAATGAGAGGTCCCAAATATAGATTGCTACAAAACATCATGCAAGGAAAAATAGCAGCAAACGCAGTCCAGGACGAAGAAGAACCTCATGGTTGAAGAACTTGCGAGATTGGTATGGTGTAGATACAAGCATGCTATTTAGGGTGGCAGTGAATAAAATTAAAATAGCTATGATGGTAACCAAAGTTCTGAAAGGACATGGTAACATGAAGAAGAAGAGGTTCGAAGTCCTCTAGAACGTTTGAAAGATTCCATAACAGTCATGAAATATTAATATCCTCCAAAGGAACGCCACAAAATATAAAATTCTTTGATACTTCTAAAACTGTTCTGAAACATAAGCCTCCATAAAATCCATCAGAGATATCCAAAACATTCCATGATAGTCACTAGACATACTAGACTGTCATGAAATTCACCAAAAGGGACTGAAATATTTAGGGTCTATTTTAGTTTTCCAAAATTAGTTTACACTTCTCTGAATTTCTTCCAGAGTCTGTGAATCATTTCAGAACAGTTCAGAAATATTCACACGCTAAAAACTATCCTTAAGAGTATCATAAACCATTTTCAGAGCCTCAGAACATTCAAGAATACAGTCAAGAAACATTCTAGGTTGCCATTATCAGAAATCCCTGAAACAGAATCTGATCTCGATCAACAAAAGAGTCTCTTCGCTACTCTTTACTACTACTAAGTCCTAAAAATCTTAAAAAGATTCCAGAAAAATCTCAATTTATTCTAAGCTATAAACCATCATCTGCAACTTCATAAAATACTCCAGGCTTTTTTGAAAGCTGCTAACGTTGCACTAAAATTTTTCACAAACTGATGAACATTAAGACTGTGCAGAAATGCTTCAGGATGGTTTTAATGCACACATAACAACACCCAAAATACCCTGAAACAGTCCAGGAGATTTTTAAACCTACTGGAGACCTCCGAATTATTTTTTTACTATGTTGTAAGATTTTAGACTTTCCTAAAGTCCAGATAATATTTCATTACAATCAAGAAACATTCCATGCTACTATGACGTTCTTCTATGTTTTTTGTATCGTTTAGATTCTTTTCTCGATCACCAAAAGAGTACACGCTGCTTTGGAGTCCAACAGAGCATTTGAAGCATTCCAGAATAATTTTGAAATACTTCAAGCTACAAAAAATCCTTTGGAACCTCATAAAATAATCCAGGTCTTTCTGAAAACTGCTAAACTTGCACTAAAATTTTCCAAGACCTGATTAACATTCCAAGACTAAAAATACTCCAGAATGACTCTAATTACTGCAAAACATGCTAAAACAGTCCAAGGCACTTCTGAAGTCTCTTGGAGATTTCTAAATTATTCCTTTACTTCTCATACCGTTCTAGATTTAATTAAAATCCTTCAAAAATATCAAAAATATTTTCTAGAGTCCCAAAATATTCCAGACTATTGTGAAGTACTCCTGAAATCATTTAAACCTTTTGAACTCTTTTCAAAAATTCACCAGACTAAGCTAAACATTCTAAGATGAACACGAAATTTTTTGACGCTTCTATAAAGCCCTTTCTCTCCGAAGTCTCCGAAGCATTCAAGAGTTCCTTAAAATTCTTCAAAAATCACTAAACACTTCAGAGCAGCCACTTCATATATTTAATGACTGTAAGACTCTCGAACACATTCTAGGGCAACCCCGAAGTCATTTAGAAATGTTTGACTAATTACTTAAGTGTCCTGAAATATTTTAGACTTCCATAGACTCGTCCAAAGATACAGAGAACATTTTATGATATTTAGAAAGCAATCTAAGCTGCACTACATGAAATATTTCAGGATGATGATACAAAGGGAGTTCTGATTTTTCCAGATATATTGGAAATATTCTAAGCTTTAAGAAAATTTTTAAAAATCTCCAATATAATGTAATTACTTAAGTAAAAAAACTTACTTTTCATCTTCATCCTTTTGTGAATTGTTACTAGGTGACGATATTCCGCTAGCGGAACTAGAACTTTGTTCGTTACAACCGTTATTTTCGATGGTATGTACATTTGTGCCACTTTGACTTTTAGACAACGCATAACTTTTAGAATTGTTCTCCGCGGGAAAGCCTCCGTTGGTGATCGATTTGATATTGTTGGCGCTCAAGCATTTGCTAAGTTCGTGTTTGCCGTTTTGCTGGCCTATCGGCTCTGGACTTAAGCAGTCCGTGTTGGGTAGTTGAGTTTGTTGGAGAAGTCTGTTCTTCTCCAAGGTTTCTTTCTTTCTCTAGAAAATAAATAAAAACTACATCTAATTAAAGTTTTTTTGTGTGTACAAGTTATAATTAAATTTGTTATGTATTTGTAAAATAAAAATGTAGAAGAAATCACATTATATCGTCGGCTGTATGCAATAGTGGCGTAACTCAAAAAATTGACAAAAGTGAGTTAAAAAAGCTTTATTTATTACCTGCAAAATTGGCACAATAATAATAACAAAAATGTCCGCTAGACGTCACTAGTGTTGCTATGACATGTTGCCGGTTGAGATAAATTGTTTCTTGCAGTACTGGCCCTATTTAGTTGTGCAGTGGAAGTCGAACCCTGTCGATATCAAGTTTACATGCAATACAGGCACTTTTGAGTTGTGTTACTATAGCAGAAAATTTTAGATATTTTCATACTGTATCAGTGAGAATTTTAGAGCTGTGTCACATTAAATAACAGGAAAAAATTTATTGTTTAAAAAATGTTATAATTAAACGGTTATCAGAAAAGAAGTGAATTAATCTATCTCGAGTAGGAATAACATAAATAATGATATCAATATTATTTTAATATATAATTTCAAATAATGGATTTAGTAAAAAACTTTAGAGAATTTTTTGATTACATCTACCGGTTTAAACAAAAAATAAACCAATTTTAGTTCTGATGCGAACCCTCATTACGTGAATGATGATGTATCGTCTTCATTTACAGAGGTATCTGATGAAAATGTAAAAACTAAAGTACTAGAAGACGTGACGATTAATAAACCCAAAAGTAGGAAAACGAAGGCTAGTCCGGACCAATGGAAAAGAAATGTCAGAAAGTTTCTTAAAAATGCAAGCTAAAAATACACCAATGTTGACGGTAGCTTGTACAGGCTAGCAGTTTAGATTCATCTTGCAATCTATGTAGACTGAAATGTGATGAAAAATTTACGTTACAAGAGAGAACACAGATCTTGGAAAAATATTGGTCAATGGGAAAAATAAATTTACAACGAAGTTATATTCTGAGATTTATGTCTATAATTAAACCAACATATCGATATACAGATAAAGGTAACACATAAAGTCATGATTATTATTCATGCATTTTATTGGAAAACCGTGATCAGAAAAACATTGGAGTTACTAATATATGTATTCAAACTGCTACTGGAAAGACAAAAAGTAGTTTTATAAGCGACGATTAAAGAGGTAATCATAGCATGCATTAAACATTTTATAACAAAACTGTCAGCAGGGTTCTTAAACACCTTACTTCCAGACAATCGAGAGCCACTATTGTCGAAGTAGCACCTCAAAAAATATATAGAAGGATGCAAAACATTGACAGATCTGTACAATGATTATAAAGCTGATTGCCAAAGAGACAATGATGAATTTGTAAAAATTGGTTTATACCATAAATTTTTTAATTATGGATTTAACTATGCATTCTTTTCTTCCAAAAAAGATCAACGTCAGTAAGGTAATAATAGCCCAACAATATGCTTATATCATATAATCATCATAAGGAGAAAGACTTAAGTTTTTCTTAGTAGTTATAGTTTCTTAGATATAACTAACTTACAAAAAGTTTTTATTTTGACCTACAAGGTCCTTAAACCTTACTAGCCTTTGTAAAGACAAGAATGTTTCACCAATTTACGCTTATTTCTACCGACATTTAAAGCCCTGTTGATTAGCAACTTTTCCTATTATTATTAATATATACATTTTTTATTTCGTTCTTCTTATATAAACACATTTTCTCATTTGAGTAACTTGTAGTATTCTTTATTGAGCCTGTATTTCAGTTGATATGAATAACAAAAAAATGCCAGTTTTGTTTTTGCCTTAATTAGTCTCGAAAGACAAAATATTGATGTGCAATAGTGGCACAACTCAAAATAAGGGTTGAATTTAAAAGTCTGTTACAATTCATTAAAGGCTACCTAACGCTCTACCAAATAAACCAAAATTTATTTTTTTTTTTTTTCAAAAATCCGTAGTAAACCAAATAAGACAAAATTATTAGCACACAAACTTTAAACCTCTATTTTAAAAAATTACCATTTTTGTGTTGTGTCACTATTGCATACAGCCGACGATATTACCAAAAAGCAAATAAAATTTTGCTGAAGGTTCTTGGAGGATTTTAAAACTTGTGGTGGTTATGGTGAATGCTCCATCTATCTTAACAGTCCAAATTTTGGTGGATACACACCCTGCCTGCTCAGTGTCCTTGATGTTCATAAATCGGAATTGTATTACTGATTGAATAATTAACAGAAACCGAACAAAAAACTGAATTCTGTGTAAAAATAGCTACCATTTCATTTCTAATTAGATATAGGTGAAAAATTATTTATCTCGTTACTATAATGTTTATATAATTGTTTTCATTTTTTGTGCAATTTAAGTTTAAAAAATTGTAAAACAAAATGTGTAAATAGGTGTAATTGCTAGTGTAACAATCACAAAATTCTGCTAGCTACTACTAGAAAGCTAAAAACTGGCAACAAATGCTTGTAACCACAAACGCTTGATTTTCTAAGTGCAATGTTTGATTTCGATTAAATAAACTCCAGTAAAAGAGGTGAAAGGTGATTTAAATTTTGAAAAAGACTTTTACGAAAAATCGAACTCATTTTCTAGTGATTTACCGGTGATTTTGATCTTTTTCTAAAATGAAATTCCTCACAATTTTCCATGTAGTAGTTTTCCACAATCTGTAATAAGTTAATTATGGTACTAACAATGGTGATATTCAAAATTTTGTAAATACACAAGTCATATTATTTAATTACGGTGACGTGACTTAATAACAATAAAAATAGAGACAATTCAATGGCATAGCATAAATCATAAGCAATTTTAAATGTTCTGCGAAAGGAAAAACATTGATAGCTATTCTAACATTTCCTAGATAACTTAAAATTGGCTGAATTATTCCAGAGTGTCCCAAATTACAAGTAAAATATTCTAATAAGTCCCGAAGTAATCCAGATGGTCTTAAAAATGTTTCGGGAAAACCCATAATATTTAAAGACAATTACGGATATTTCAGACTACTGTATAAAGTTTTCCAGAGGTGCCTGAAACATTTTCACCTTGTTCAGGAATACTGCAAATTTTTTTTTGCTTTGAAATAAATCAGAAACTTGTTTCCAAAACCTTATAAATTACTCCAAAACAGTTTGCAAAAATCTAAGCTGTCTTAAAAGTCTTACTGGTCTTACTTAAAAGTGATTACTGTACTTCACTGGTAAATGCTCTAAATATTTTCAATAACATCAACCAAAGTAAAATGTCAGTTACAAAATTCAAAGAAAATGTGTACATGCAACTTCTTCAATGCAGTAATCTACCCCTTCCTGTACAAGTTCAAACCAAACATGAACTTACTCAAAATGCTTTGAATAAAAGAGGCAGATGCACGATTTGTTACAAAAAAACTCAGAACTACACAGTCTAATTTATGCTGTAAAAAACACAAAACGAGTAACAAGTGTATGCAACGAATATGAAGAGAGCCTTTTTATGTGTTTAGAATGTTTCTTTACCAATCATGTTTTCACAAAAAATAACTAAAACATGTACCACAAAACGGACTCATTACTAAATTTTCTAGTTAAAAAATACTACACTATATGTTATTATATAATATACTGTACTATTATAAAAATGAAAAAAAAGTTTATGTAGGCATATTTAATTTTAATTATATTATCCCTTATACCTTCATAAAATTAAAATAGCCAAGAATATTTTTAAATATCATAGTTTTACATCAAACTCAATGATATTCCTATTTAAATACACGGTAAATGTATACCAGTCATGAACAAATATCTGAAGCTCTGATAAAACCTGTCTCTATTATATGCACAAATGGCAGGGAACTAAAATTGCCTCTGTCCATATTTGCTACACATGAAAAAAGTTAAAGTGTTAAAAGATTCTACAGTAATCCCGAAATATCAGAGATGTCGTTAAATATTCTTTCGGGACATCATAAAACATGCTAGAATAGTCCAATATTCCAGGAATCTCTGAACCATTTTTTTACCAACCGTTTTAGAGTAAGGAAAGAAGTCTTTTCAGAGCTCTGAGTAAGTCAAAGTCAGTCTTAATATGTTTTTGATATATGTCATCGTAATATCCTTTACAATGATGACCTGAAAATCTCTAAAATTCACCGTGTTTGAGATGTACAATATATTTTTGGATAACCATAAAATATTCCAGACTGCCTTGAATTCCTTTAATAGTATATAAAACATTTACATAGTATTTTGTAAATAAAAGAAACACCCAAAATATCCCAGGACAAGCACAAAATATTTTAGACTGTCCAAAAAGCTTTTTCAGGAATCTCTAAAGCATTTCTAGCTTATTCTGGAATCTCGACCAAGCACTGAACTCTTCCAGAGCCTTTAAATCCCTTCACAACACTAATAAAGTATTCCAGAATATAATGTCTTTCAGGGCCACATAAATCATTCTAGAACAATCCATAGTATAATGCACTGTATTGTTCTCTAAATACGGATGAACATACCAGGGCGATTACGAAATATTCCAAAATGATCTGTCCTTCTTCAGATCCTTCTGAAGTGTTCCAGGGCTTAAGTCTTGTAGAAACTACACAAGTATTATAATCTTGTATAAAATGTTTGTGTACGAAGTCTAACACAAGACCGGAAAGCATGGAGATAACAGTGCAAAACTAACTCCCACGAGACTTACACCTAACGGTAGAAAGGTTTAGGACATAAGTAAGTAAGTATGAAATGATTCAGCGATACTCGAAGTAATTTTAGGGCAGACTAAAAATATTCCAGACTGTTGTAAAAATCTCCAGAGATATCTGAAAAAGTTCCAGCCTGTACTGGAGATTAGAAAAATCCAAACATCCTGCTGTGAAGTCTTTAAGATGTTTGAATCGTTCTAAGAGATTTTCGAAATATTCCAGATTTTTCAAAGCCTTTTAAACATTCTAGTATAATTCAAAAACAAAACTTATTAAAATTCTCCATAGACCGTTGAAGATTTCACGATCTCTTCTCTTATAGTTCATATCCGTTTCCGGATGTTGGCGATCAGCATAACTATTCTAACTTTACTTAGCAGCTATTCGGAATAGTCCGATTGTAGACGTATTGAACCACTTCCTTAGGTTTTGAAGCCAAGATGTTCTTTTTCTCCCTAGTCCTCTCTTTCCAAATACCTTGCCCTAAAGAATGAGTTGCAATAAGCCATATCTCTATCTATTTTCTCATAACATGGCCAATATATTCTAAATTACGCTCTTTGATTGTGTTAGTGATCTCGCATTCCTTGCCCATTCTACGTAGGACCTCAATATTAGTCCACCCATGAAATTCGTAAGATGCGCCTGTAACACCACAGTTTGAAGGCCTTGAGCTTTCCTAAAGAAGCTTCAGAGAGCGTCCATGCCTCTACTTCGTATAATATTGTAGAAAATACATAGCAGCTGATGATAGAGATTTTGGTACTATGGTAAATCGTGACTTCTGAAAAGAGACTTTATCTTTACGAACGCTGATCTTGCTTTTCCTATGCGTATTTGTGTAGAGTGGTCCCATTGACTGTTTATGTTAGTACCAAAAGATTTGTAGCTGTTTACTCTGTAAAATGGCTGTTGATTTACCAAAAGATGTGTATTTAATATTTCGCGCTTACTAACTACTATGTACTTTGTTTTGTTCGTATTCAGATCCAGCCCATATATTCCTGACTTATATATAATATGCGCGACATTATTACTTGTAATCCATTCAGGCTATCTGCAAAAACTACTGCGTCGACAGCATATCTAATGTTGTTTAGACGCACTCCATTAACTAAGACGCCTTCCTGCAGTTGTCCCAGTGCTTGCTCCGAGTACATGTTAAATAGGACTGGAGACAGAATGCATCCTTGTCTCACTTCTCTATCTATGGAAATTATTTCTGTCAACTGGTCATCCACTTTCATCTTCAGCAGTTTGGTTCTAATATAAATTAAATATAATTCGCAAGTCTTTATCATCCTAGCCCACTTCTTTCAAGATGATTATGAGCTTGTCATGTTTTACTCTATCAAATGCCTTTATGTACATCACAGTTGACATCCCTGCAACCTCTGGATTTCACGATGGTGACTAAATATTCCAAGACGACTAAATTATTCACAGGGTTCGAAAGCAGGATAGAATAGTTAGAAATATTTCAGAAACGCATGCACCATTCCTTGGGCTTTTCCAAAATGTACTGAGACGTGTAAGGTTTTCCAGGGCAGTCACAAAATATACCAGGCTTCAGTGAAATGAAAATAAAAAGGTAAGACAGAAAACACGTGAGTAGAAAATAAACAAAAAGGAAAAGAAGAGTCAAAGAGGTAGAATGAAGAAGAGATGAAACAGAATAAGAAAAAAGAAACAGTAGAAAAAATGTTATTGCTTTTTTGTAGATAAAACTGGCAGTTTCGATTTTTTCCTTTGAATAAAAAGAGTAAAAATTAAACAAAATGTAAGCAACAACTACACACACAATAACTACAAATAATATACATACAAAATATCTATATACACATATTAAAAACACAGTAAACACCAACTTACTTCTAGATCAATTTTGTCGAACTCATGAAATAACTGTCTATAAAGCAGATTCCTTCGTGTAATGTCATCATCCGGTGGTAACTGTTTTCTAACTAAACGAGGGTTTACTCTGTAAACTAAAACCAAAATTCTTTCTGATACTTTTCTGACGGCTTCCGCGGGATGGTGCAGTCCGCTGAGACCGAATTCGGCCAAAGTTCTACAAGTTAATCCACTGAAAATACCAAACCATAGCATTAGATCGTATGATAGAGGAATAATTAATTAGAAATATAAATAAGAAGCTCTACTTAATGTAAAAATGAAGTTTGGATGTTTTGTATAACGCTGTATAAAGACACATCACGTCTGCTCTAATATCTGGCACAGATTTCAGATCCTCAGCAGCCTTTATCAAGGAGTAGGTCAAATGTCGCACGAAAACTGACCAAAGTGACTTAATATTTACTGTTCTAAAAAAATCTTCTACAAATCGGTTAGCTTTAGTCTTATTCTAGCTATATTCTAAATTTGCTGTAAATCTCCAAAATATTTCAGAATTTATTATTATAAAGTATGTAAAATGTTACGTAATGACTTAATACCTAGTATCATCTGAGCGATGATGGTTTTAGTTTACTTAAATTTATTTCATTTTATTCTATTCTATTTTATTTCTATTCGAGTCGATAATCGATTGCATTCGATAATGATTCGATTCGATAATCGATTCGATTTTATATTTTGAATCAATTAGATTCGATTCGATGGAAGGCTCGATTTGATTAGATAATCGATTTGATCAGGATCGATAAAATATTCGATTCGATAGTTGATCCGACTGAACTAATTTGTCCGAATTGGTTTTGTCGAAAAAAACGAATTTTCTTTGGTCAAGATATTGTTCCAAACAAAGTAATTATGTACTGCTGGTTCCTAAAACTGATACGACTCTTAGTAAGATTTAATCATTTTGAGCAGTGTATTTGATTGGTCTGACATTATATTATAATGTATTATGATAGACAAATAATAAAATAAACAAACAAACAATAAACAATTGATTACATATGTTAATTCATACATTGTAATATTTATTTAAGGTCAAAATTTTGATATTGTTTTGAATTCCTGCATTGTATGAAGAGTAAATAAATGATTGTGTTACATATAGGGTTTTGTAATATTTTATATTATTAAGAATAAAACAAACTACTTAACAGCAATATATTAAGCAAAATTGTAACCAATGAAAGATAAATGCGCACTATCAAAGCACAAATATTTAACATAACAGAACACAGTTTTCTTTCAAAATTGCGGGACAGGACTTTCGAAAGGAAGCGAGGATCTGGAAGACCAAAACTATACTTAATTAAGGTATTTTAAAATTAAAATTAATATTTTGTAATATCTTCATCAGCATTGATAACAGCTTGTAGTCATCGGTTCATCTGCGTAAAAAGAACTATGGAATTGTCTTCTTCAGAGAGCTCTTTCTAAACCTGTTGTATACCGTGCTACAATGCTCTTCAGCATTTTGCGGTATAAAATTACTCCGATACAACCATTTTATAATAACACCCACACATTCTCGATTGGGTTTAAATCTGGAACGTATCTGAGTCATCTGGGCTCGGAGCCTTATTATTCTTTAGTTGTGCCATAGATTGATTTATTTCGAAGGATTCTGTGTTAAGGAGTATTTCTGAGTTGACATTCGTTATCTTTCTCTTAAGATTTTCCTTTGTAGTGTTATCTGGGTTTTTGTTTGAGGAATATAAATCAAGGTACAATGTTTGAGTAACTTTTAGAATTTCCTTCTTTTCTCTATTGGGTCCGGATGGAATACTTGTAGAAATGTTGAAGGAGGGAAGAAGGAAAGAATGTATTCATATAGGAGAAGTCTCAGATGATTGGAATGAAAGTTTGACAATACTTCTGTTCAAAAAAGGAGACAGGGGAGATCTAATGAACTATAGGCCAATCTCCCTGCTGTCTCAAATATACACTCCAGTATACTGTATACTCAAATACTGTTTATGAGAGTAATAACTACCACGTTAACGTCGAAGCTCGATAGCTATCAACTAGTAGAGCAGGCAGGATTCTGAAAGGGTTACACTACAGCGGATCATCCTCTTACAGTCAAAACGCTAATAGACAAAGCCGATGAATATCACTTGAACTTATTCATTGGCTTCGTTGATTATAAATAGGCATTCAACTCCTTAGAACTTTGCTCAATAGAGAGAGCTTTGAACAACTGCAGGATAGACTCACGATACAGAATGCTCATACATAATATTTACAAAAAAACTACAAAAATACAAATAGATGCGAAAACCAAAGCTATACCAATCAACAGAGGAGTTCGTCACGGAGATGTTATCTCACCAAAGCTACTCACATTTGGACTGGAAGACGTATTCATAGACATTAACTAGGGCAGATAAAGGAATAAATTTTAATGGAAGAAAACTAAGTCATTTGAGATACGCTGATGATATTGTAATATTCGCTACAAGTTTCGAAGTATTTCAACTATTTCAAGCTTCGGAAAAAGTAGATCTTAAGATGAACTTGGAAAAAAATAATGACAAATGCACCGAACATTAGGGAAATAACGTTAAACGACATAAATTTAGAATCAGTAAGCAAATACATCTACCTGAGACAGATAATGAAAGTTAACAAAGAAAATCAAACTGCCGAAATTACCAGAAGAATAAGCTTAGCGTGGGCAGGATTTAGAAAACTGAGTTAGATCTTAAAAAGCACTAAAATACAACAATATTTGAAAACGACAAATTACGATCAGTGTATCCTCCCTATACTCACATATGGTTCACAGACATGGGCACTCACCAGTCTAATACGGATATAATAGTAAAGGCACAAAGAGCGATGGAAACATCAATGCTCGGGGTGAGACATATATGTAGGTTTTTATTATTTGAAAGGGAACTAACGTTAGAATAAAAGTCCGTGATCCATACGAGACGTCTTTATTAAATAACAATAAACTGTAAGGGTGGTATTTACAGGTACACAAAATTACAAGATTACGGATAATTGTCTGCGAATTAAAATATCGGACACCCCGTCGTTAATAGTTTTCGTCTTTCGTCTTTTCTCTGGCGGGCGTTGCACAGTAATTAACCTTCAACGCGCGAGAAGTCAAATATCGAATCCCTTTTAGGTCAGGAATGTGTGATTTTGCCTATATTTTTCTGTCCCCTTTCCCCGTGATGGCGACCTGTCTGTAACTAACAAATAAAACTATGCTAAAAACTTAATATAAGAAATATTTCCTACATATATATCTAATAGATCTAATCTAATATAGATATAGATAGAAAAGACTGAAGGATAAAAAGACGAAATACAACAATGAAGACCTTGGTCAGGTAAGAGAAGCAGAGGAATACCACAAATGAGATGGGCTGATGACATTAAGAAGATCGGAGGACACAACTGAAAGCAAGTGGCGCAAAATAGAAGACACTGAAAGAAAATTGGATTACTTAAGGCTGAATTTGCTGCAGTTCGGTACCAAAGACGCGATGCTTTAATTCTGCGCCAAGTTGTTGTCTTTCTTCCCAGAAACTGTAACATAATTCTTGCAGTTTTTGTATCTTCAAATGGATTCTCTTCTTATCTCTCCAAAAGCGTACGATCTTCATAAGCGGTAGATATTTTTGGTCTTCTAGAACCTTGCTTTCTTTCAAGAGTTTCTTGTTCTCTTCAACCTTAATTAATATTAAAAACCGTTGTTCTGTTTACGTTAAAATGGTTCGCTACGGCAGATAGTGACCAACTATCTTCTAATTTCTTCATAATTCTTGCTTTTAGTTCTTTGATAGCATGTGGAGCCATTTTTTGATGTTGAACAAAAGTTATATGACAAATTATAAGATTTGACAATGACAGTGACAGTATGTAAATAATAAGTATTTACCCTTCAAAATACTCAATTTTATACAAAATACGCTTTAAGACTTGTATCCGTTTTTTAGGGACCAGCTGTACATATATTTATAAGTAAGAGTAAATGTCAACTATTTACTGTCACTTCTACAAAATATCAGTAACTACCTCAACAGCTTTTCTTTATAACCAATTACTATTAAACAATATTAAATAAGCCAATAACAGACTCGATTGTCTGTTCTGTACCTCCTAATTTACCTTTGTTTCTCTGTAGAGATTCCATGATTAATAATAAGCTGTTCTACCATTTCTGCCCTACTCAAAGCTAGTCTAGGATGAGTGCTACTATTCACTGGTCTACTTAAATGAACCGGGATAATATGAAGGTCCCTGTAAAAACATAAAAACTAGGAAATATTAAAAATGTTTTGGAAATGCTTAAAAACTGTTATCTACGAAGGAAAGCTACATGTAAGAATGTATTTCTAATATGTTAGCTGTTTCTTTGCACATGTATAACAATACAGTTGGTACAGTATAAATACCGATGCACGTCATTGTCTACATCAGAGATTTAAATTGACATTGTTGTCAAATTATAAAAAAATTCCTGTTAGGAATTATTAGGCCTAAGCTGCTAATATTTTCCAAAGATCGCTGTATAGTAAGTACAATTAGGAAAAAGAAAAAAGTTCGTTAAAGTACAGGCAATAATAAATCCCGCTCTAAAAGTAAGACAACTGATGTTCCTGATGGATCTTAACTGGCAATGCGGATTTCTGTATCATACAAAAAGTACTTCAGTGACGCCCAAACTATTCCAGGACTATCACTAAATATTCAAGACTGTAATGAAGTTCTTCACAAGTTTCCGAAACATTTCCAGTTTATTCTGAAGTCTAGAAAGAGTCGACATTATTCTGGAGACCTTAAGAACTTTTAAGTGAATCCAAGAATAGTGAAAGATTCCACGCTGCAGATAGTTGTTTGGAGTCTCACTTAAATTTTCAAGATATTCTGGAGGTAATTACAGCGGCACTAAAATTTGTGTACATACTATCGATAAATTTTGCAGATATTCTTGAAAAACTTCCAGCGTGTTCTCGAGGTCCTTAATGTTCTATGGTATGTTTAAGGTCGCCAAAGCCGTTAAACCATTCGAGAAGAGTCCTAACATATTTAAGACTGTCCTGAACTCCCCGAGAGTGGAGAATGCTTTATATGAGACATATAAAATATTCTAGGATAATCCATAAGTGGCCCAAACTGCGCTATTATTTTCCAGAGACCACTGGAAAGTATGTGCAATTATGGAAGAGAAATAAGTCACCAGATTATCAAAATTCCATAAATTATTATAAAAAAAAACTTTAAAAGCTTTGGCCGGAATATTAGTCATTTCCTAACCTAACCTAACCTAATTCTTACACCGACTCCCATAGACATATCGGTAATAGAAATAGACTAAACGCGCAATACACTCGCGTTCCCCCAGTGCAACAGAGAAAACTGACCCTGCATCGCTTTTTAATAGCCTGGGTTTATCGACCACGTGACATCGTTGATTATTTAGGTCACATTTAATTCGTATAAATTAAAGAACGACGCATGTGCAAAGAACCAACGGACATAGTATAACTAGTGGATGAATAAAATGACTTGATTAAAAAGTGATGTTCAAAAATATACTGAATAAACGCAAAAAATATTTTCTTACGTTCACTTTTGCTACATTTCGAATTAAATCTCAATAGTGATGAAATCATATGTAGGTGGCTATTGACTATAAGTTAACTGTCACCTATCACTTGTCATGTCTTCTTTCCCTTTAGGTATGTTGTTTTATCGCCGATGACTTCTAGAATAGTTGTGATCATGCGCATTAACGAAATATAAATAAACTTATTTACTGCGCATGTTCAACACGTCATTAAAGCAGTTAACGACAATATCAAAACTTTCTAAGAATGTAACATTAGTAAAAAATGATGTTAAGGTTAAATATTAGTTCTATGTTGAAAAGCAGGACATTATAGGACAATGTCGAAGATTTTGACGTTATTTTAGAATTTTGGGTGGAAATATGAGAAAATATTGTAAAGATAATGATAATGTCCACAAAAAGTCAACAAAATATTTCATAAATCCCAAATAGATTTTTTTAACTATGTTTTACCTTACGCTTTTGCAGTCTGCCATTGTTAAAATGGTATGGACAGCCATTTGATTAATGCGTTGACTTGTATCTCCAGATTTAGTTAATAGTTCCGGCAGGAGTTTGTCTACGCTTCTAGCAACTTCCGTTTGACTAACTCTGAAAAATAAAAATATTGGTAATACTTACCAAATATTTGGTGAACTTAATCTAATTTAAATTTACCCAAACAGTTTACCAGTAATTCTTCATATATAAAACATAAACAATTGGTAAAACAAATACATCGCTCATATCTTTATGGTAAATTTATTTATTTAGCCTATGGCTACATCACAGGTTCATATATATACATATATATAAATTATAAATTACAAACAACAGTAAATACAAAAATATTATTCTACAAACAAACATCTAGATTATAAATATATTCGATTGACTCTTTTGTAGCAGCCAGGAAATCCGAAGGGTTGCCGTTATAGGATCTAATCGGGCATTCCTCTACCATGTGTTTTACTGTTTGCCTTTCGGCGCCGCAGTCGCAATTTGGTGATTGTATTTTTCCCCATCTAAAAAGTGAGTCGGAACATCTGCCACAGTTCGTCCTTATTCTATTGAGTGTGGTCCAAATTCGTCTCGGTTGGTTGAAGCCCTCAGGTTTGCTTGTAATACATGGCATGTTTCAGTTAGCTGGTGCAGCGTTATTCTCCCATTGTTCTCTCCACCGTTCAGTTACAAGAAAGTTTTGATCTACTAGCCTTTTTGCTGTTTTTAGAGGTCGGTGTCTTGAACGGAGCCTATTTATGTCTCTGGCGGAAGTTCCGACATGGGAGCGGAGCTCAGGATCAGTATTGATTTTTGTAAATTCTCTGACAAGGGCATGTTCCCGGCGGATGGGTGGTGGAGCTATATGACACAAAGCTGGTAACCAGTAAGTGGGCGTGGCCTTGATTGTGCCCGATATAGTTCGCATGGCTTGGTTGAGTTGGACATCAACACGGTGAGTATGTGGACTGTTTATCCATACTGGTGCACAGTTTCCTACGGGGTATACCAGTCCTAATGCTGTCGATCTAAGTGTGGGTGCTGAGAAGCCCCATGTAGTGCCGCAGAGCTTTTGCAGGATGTTGTTACGAGTTCGGAGTTTTGCAGCAGTCTTAGTAAGATGCTCTTTAAAGTTTAGCGTTCTGTCAAGTGTAACACCTAAGTATTTTGGGTGTTTATTATAGTTAAGGAGTCTATCCTCAAAATGGATTTGAGGTTGGTAGTTGGCCATCTTGTTGTACAAATGGAAGCAGGACACTTCTGTCTTAGTTGGATTGGGTTGCAATCTCCATTTGCGGAAATAATTCCCTAGGACATTAAGATCGTTTGTTAGAATGCGTTCAGTGACCTCGAATTCTTTATGACTTGCGGCAAGCGTCCAGTCGTCTGCGTATCCAAACTTTTTTGATGTGGTTTCTGGCATGTCTGCTATGTAGAGGCTGAAAAGCATGGGAGCCAACACGGATCCTTGTGGAAGTCCAGTATTCAGTTTCTTTGATAAAAAATTTATTTAAGACATCAAATATGTATGCGGACGAATCATCCGTGAAGTTATTGAGATTGAAAAACACCCGAACTGGCACAATAAAAAAGATGGCGGCACCCGGTTACTATCTACGTAGAGACCTCTCCGCAATCGCAACAAAATACCGCCAGCTTTAACCCTGAATCCAGCTCCCCACGTCAATATTACCATCTTACCCTTCTGCTGAAATTCGTACAACTTAATGTTAATAAAAATCGTAAAAAACAATTTGAAAACAAAATAATCGTCACTATCACGAATAACAATAATAACTCATGGACTTATAATTTACTTAACGATATCGAAAACAGTATGTTAAGTAATCACAATTAATATGTTTCATGATTCATTATAATTATTAGTTTAAAATTTCAAATTTAATGTCACTTTAAACATACCGGATAATAACATACCATGCTGTGTTTGACACATTTAGTTGTGACAACCATAGTTGTAGCAATAATAAATTATAGTAGAAGCCACAGTTAGAAAGCAGTGCAGGTAAGATAGGCAATGTATTTCTTACGGGAGAACGGCCAACCACGTTGCCGGTTTGTCCCGAGCGGCGCATCAGGACCGGATTTAAGAATCATAGCACTGAAATATACGCGCACACAATAATTGCCTACGGTTGTATAAAAGACTATCATTATTGTTTCAACTGAAGCATGATTTAATCATCGATGTATAATTAAGAGAGTTACATCGTGGAACTAAACAATAACATGAAGAAAAATACTATAAAAAAGTAAAATATATCTAAAACTCATTGCTATAGCTTATCTATAGTAGATCGATGTCGACTCCGAACTCAAGCGTTTTCTCAAGAATCTGCCTGACTGTGAAGATTCGATCTGTTGTTGATTTAGAATAGATGATCGAGAAGAAGAATTAGCATCTCAAAGAAAGCCACAGCTTAGTGAAAAACTAGCTTGTCTTTCATGAGTAAAAAACATGAGTAAAATAATCTGAAAACAAAAAAATATAAAAGATAAATATCTCTATGCAACTTACCTTCCTGGCACGAAATGTACAAAAAACAACCGAATAACCTCATTAGCCAAATTGTACACCGAAAACACTTTATCTCTCAACGATCTATGCAGCAAAAATATCGCAGCTCTGGCTATTTTGTTCGGAACGTGAATTTTACTATTGTCGTAGGTGGACAACTCATCCTTCAAACTATTCAAGCCGTCCTCTTTGTCGCAATAGTGCTTGGAGTAAAATCGTTCCACTAGATCATTGCCGAATACGAGGATAGGCAACGCGGCTTGTTTTTTCTCCCTTTCTGTGAGTTTTGACGTCGTTTTGTGGTCGGGTTCTAGCTGGCATTCTCTTAGAAATTCGTTTGTTTGGGAACTAAAAACAAAGTAAATTTTTATTTAACTAAAGTGAGGTGAAGAGTTCTCATGTAGCCTATAGAGGGCACTGTTAAAAATTATACTATACTACTTTCAACTCAAGGTGATTTATCTACAAATTGAACTGAGAATTAACGGCAACAATGTTAAATGTCAGAAGTAAATTTTTACCGACACTTATCGGGGGCATTTTTATTGTGTATGGTTCGCCAATTTGGATAAGTAAAAAGTTAGATATTTCCATAAAATTTGCTCCCGTAACAATATACTTTCTGCATACCATTACAATTCGCGAGCGAATAGTTCCTTGAATACTTTGAAACATTGGTAAACTTATCATGACCTTATCAGAAACATTTACTACAATCAAACGGCCAAAATCAAAATAGAAGACCAGTTAACTGATAAAATTGCAATAGAACGTGGAGTACGACAGGCTGTATTTTGTCTCCATTGTTGTTCAATATTTATTCTGAATGGGTATTTAAGGAAGCTTTAGACGGTTGTGCGAAAGGAATACTAATAAACGGTGAATGGTTGAATACCATTAGATATGCAGATGACACTATAGTTTTTGCCGCTATTCTGAATGATTTACAGATATTAACAAATCGGATAACAGAAGTCAGCAACAGATACGGACTAGCTCTCAATATAAAGAAAACCAAATTTATGACAATTAGTAAAAAACCAATACTAAACGCTCAACTTACAATCAACCAACAGAATATCGAAAGAATCGAGCATATAATCTAGGCCAATTTAAATACCATGGACACTCACAGAAATTAAAAGCGATATAAAGCAAAAGCAGCATTCGTTAGAATGAGAACCATTTTCAACAGTCGAGACATATCATTAAAAACAAAATGCCGTCTATTGAACTGCTACATATTCACAGTTCTGCTCTACGGAATGGAAGCGTGGACACTGACTGTTGCATCTATAAATCGCTCGAAGCTTTCGAAATGTGGTGTTATAGGCGCATCTTATGTATATCCTGGGTTGACAGAGTTACTAATGTGGAGGTCCTGCGTAAATGTGAAGAATGTGAAATTCTCATGACCGTCAAAACTAAAAAGTTGGAATATCTAGGACATGTAATGAGACATCAAGAACGTTACGGCCTTCTCCAGCTGATTCTTCAAGGGAAGGTAATGGTCAGAGAGGACCGGGAAGAAGACGCATTTCCTGGCTTCAAAATTTACGAAAGTGATATAACACGACTACCACTGAACTGTTCCGCGCTGCAGTAAACAAAGTAAAGATAGCCGTGATGATCGCCAACATCCGGAACGGATAGGCACTTTAGGAAGAAGAAGATCATGACCTTGTTGGTCTATATATTTACGTCCTTGGAAGAGTTGGAATATAAGAAATAGTTAATTCGTTGTGTTTCTTCATCATCAAGCGTTCATAGGTAATTATAGTATACAGTACTTGGGACATATAATGAGAAATCAAGGCAGATACGAGCTACTCCAATGCATTTTGCAAGGTAAAATTTAAGGAAAAAGAGTCTCAGACGAAGAATATATCCTGGATAGCTAACCTGAGAGCATGGTATAGAAAGACCTCAACACAGCTATTTCGTATAGCAACCAACAAATCATCATAGCCAGAATGATCGCCAACGTTCGGAACGGACAGGCACCCTAAGAAGAAGAAGATGCGTTCATATCTGCATAGGCGTGGTGTGTTTTGTTTTTTGTGAATGTGACTTTGTTTTTTATTTATTAAATAGAATTTATTATATTTATTAACTTTATAATAGTATAGTATAATAATTATAATAACATATAGCATAATTGTAATCGTGGATGCTGTATCGGGTCCAAGTAATGTACAAAGAAAGCGAAAGCTTATATCGGTAGAAGAAAAGCAGATTGTGTGTAGAGTGTACAAAAATTTAAAAAATACGGTTTGTACAGCGGAAGCTGTATTCATTTTTAATGGGAGTATCCGCGTCGACAAGGGGATTTAAAATATATATATGCCAAATGATCCCATAGATCTGTCTTAATAGAAAGAGAATATGTAAGTCTAATTGTAACGAAGATATCTTCGTTCTATTAGAGAGGTTCGTTCCGCACACAAAAAGATTTATTATCTGGACGAAACGTCGGTGAATACTGGTCACATAGTATCTAAGATCTGGTAAGATACTACTATAAAGAGTTATCGTCGAGCAATTGTGGACAGTTTATAAACAGCTAACATCTGTCAACTATGGCCACCAGAAAAGCAGACATGCAGAGTTGGTTACGATCCAAAAAAATTCCATTTTCCGAAAACATGATTAAGGCTGAGTTTTAAGTGTTATTAGATAGCATAGTGACAGATATCGCCAGCATGTCAGGAAAATATCGTCCTATTTGCCTTCTTCCTTGTATCGGAAAGTTGTAAGAGAGAATGCTACGTGCACGTATCGAGGAGGTGATTGTGATGTCTGGAGGCCTGTCTCCGAGACAATATGGTTTCTGTCAGGGAAAAAGTACAGTGGATGCGGTGACTCATGTGCTTCGAGCGACACGGAGAATTGGGGCTCATCATCGATGGGTCATCCTGATTCTCTTTGACGTCCAAAATGCTTTTAATGCATTGCAGTGGGGTCACGTAATGAGCTCTTTGGAAGCAAGGAACTGTCCTGGGCATCTGAGAAATGTGGTCGCTGATTATCTTTCCGAGAAGAAGATTGTGGTGGAAAATGGTGTGATGGTGGATGTAACGGCTGGGGTTCCACAGGGCTCCGTCCTGGGTCCGATGCTGTGGAACCTGGCATATGACGGGGTCTTAAACTGAGAATATGGGGAGGGTGTGATCCCCTTCGCATTCGCGGATGACCTTGCTATGCTGGTGGCGTCACGGGACAGGAAGGAACTCTTGCTTCGGATTACGCGTGCGTATCTCCTCGTTGAGGATTGGATGAGCGAGCATGATCTTCCTCTCGCGAAGGATAAGACGGAGGCTGTAGTACTCAGAGACAGAAATAGGACTGAATTTGAGTGCGCGGGAGCGAGAGTAACGCTCAAAAAGTACGTCAAGTATCTGGGAGTTACTCTATACTAGGGTGGGAGTTGGCGGGAACGTTTGAGGGGGATGACCCACAGCGTCACAAAATCAGCGGATTACAGTACGAATTTATTTAACTTTCACCCTATTTGCTAGATTTAACTTCATATAACATGTGGCTGTTCCTGCATCTTAAAAATGCGTAGGAAACGATTTTCATCAAACGAAGATGTTAGAGCAGAAGTAGAAATGTAATTGGGCAGTCTTCTTCGTTTACATTTCAAGAATGGAATCCATAATTTAGAAGATTATTGGAACGAGAGTACTGAAGATTGTGGGTTATATTAAATATTAAAAGATCTAACAATATTCTTTGATTATTATTGAATAATCTACTACTTACTGTCTTAAAGCCGGTAAAGGTTTTTCCTCATACATCTCATACGTAGATTTAACGATAGCCCCAGCCGACTTATTTCTCCGCCTGAACGATCCACCTCTACTCTGAACGTTTGTGGGGCTGCCCGTACTAGGGGAACCGGTTTTTGGACTCTGATGCTTAGTCATATGCAATGGGGATACTTGGCTGTTGTGATGATGACTAGGTGAGACGGATCTTCTGTCAGAGTGGCTCTTTGTCAATACTGGTGAAAGTAAATTTTTGTTTTGGCCGTCCCCTTCGTCTTGGCAGTCGTCGTTTTTTGAGCATACCTAAACGAATTTAAATACTGTAAATTTTGTTAATGACTAGGTTAGTTTAATAATTTCTAATGACACATATACGGATACACCGTTTATTTTTGGGAAACTATGACCAAATGCATCAAAATTTAGTATCAATAATTATGAAACAGCATATTAGTAAATATGTCACTAACTTCATCCCAATATCAGACAGTAATTTTAATACAGCTGAATGCTAAACCTGCAAATTTAAATATAATCCAAATTTATGTCTCACTGCTGAAGCAGATAAGCAGGTAATTTAATAATTCTATCACAAAAAAGAAGAGGCACTAAAAATAGCAAGGAAATACAAAATAGCAATAGTTATGTGCTACTTTAATGCTACAGTTGGACAGAAGATCCAGCTGTACCATTAGACTAACCAACTTACCCGGAGAGAGAAATCAAAGAGGTAGAAGTATCAAAGTAATTAATAATTCTATCACAAAAAAAAGAGGCACTAAAAATAGCAAGGAAATACAAAATAACAATAGTTATGGCTACTTTAATGCTACAGTTGGACAGAAGATCCAGCTGTACCATTAGACTAACCAACTCACCCGGAGAGAGAAATCAAAGAGGTAGAAGTAATGGATTTTGACAAGAGGTATGATGAACTTGATGTTGTTTGCTTGTTTCTCTGTTAGCCTAAGTGACTACTCTCCTTTCCTTCAACGTCTATTATGCTAAAATCCGATCAATAGCAACGAAGATCCGATATAGTGCCGTTTTGGCAATGTTGCCATATTTGATTTTATTGTTGTCATATTCGATATCCTATCCTCTTTCATTTGACGTCTCATACGTCAAAATCGGATCAATAACAACGGGGATACAATGTCGTTTTGGCAATGTCTTCCGTCTGTTTTTTGTGTTAACGTATTGGATATCCCCTCCTCTTTCATTTAACGTGTTACACGTAGTAATCTGACTAATAACAACAGAGAAACGATATATTATTACCAACTCCCCTTTTCATTGATACCTTGCACGTTGTTGTACGTTGAGCTGTTTAGACGTTACAAGCTTAGTGTCCTTTTGGCAATTCCGTCATCTTTGTTTTTTGTGTTAACGTATTCGTTATCCCTCCCCTTTTCGACGATATCTTGCACGTCACGATCGGACGAGCCGTTTTACCCCCACCACAAATTGAGCAAAAAATGACCAGAATGGACCTTAGCGATTTCTTATGGAATTTATGGGAAAATACGCAGAACTCTCACAGCCCTTTTACTCATAACACCAACCATCGACAGCATAATAAACAGAGTGAAGGATGATGATGACCTACTAGCTTTTTCAAAAACCACTTTTCGTAGGTTACTAAATGACTTGGGTTTTGAATATTGTAAAAGAGGTCGAGATTCGATTATGATGAATAGACAAGATATCATATCGTGGAGACACAAGTACCTCAGACAAATAAAAACATTGAGGAAGAAAGATAATGTAAATCGTGTTTATATCGATGAGTGTTGGACTAACGTCGGTGCTTCAGTGAAAAGAGAATGGAGGGATACAACGATCAAGATGCCTTCATAAAAGGGCTCTTTACTGGACTGAAAGCTCCAACCCAAAGAGGTCCTCGGTTTGTTCTTCTTCAAGCTGGAAGTAAAACTGGTTTTGTGGCATGGGCCAAATTAACTTTGTTGGCCAAGAAGGGAACCGCTGATTAGAACGATCAAATGGACGGAATCTTTATGAAGAATGGTTTGAGAAGACGTTTAGAACAAACTTGCCGAAAGAGAAAAAAAACGTTTTGGATAACGCGTCATACCACTTCCGCAATTTTGATTTCCCGGAAAAAATGTGAAACAAAAGGCAAATCAAGGATTGGCTAATCGAAAAAAAATATTTTCTTAGTGGAAGATTACCTAAAAAATGAATTACTGGATACTGCGGCCGCATTTAGAGACGAGTATGACAAGTACAAAATTAAAACAATTGAAGAAAAATATGGTGTTAAGATTTTTAGACTACCGCGTTATTATTGCGAGCTGAATCCGATTGAGATGATGGAGTCAAGTGAAATGGTATGTGGCATCAAACAACGTCGATTTAAAAAAAAAACGGTAGAACGGATGATAAAAGATGCTTACCAATGCGTATCTAAAGAGCAGTGGCATAATTATGTGAACCACGCCAAGAAAGTAAAATAAAACATGTTTGTGATGGACAATTTGCAGGAAGATATTGAACCGGTGATAATTAATATAGGAGATGTTCAGTGGATAAGGACGATTTTGATATGGATTGCGATTAGTATTGATTAACGAGAAATATCTCAGATTGAATGCTTATTTTTTTTAGTACTGTACGTACAGTACATTTCAGTTATGATCTTCTTGTGTATTTTTTGTATATACATTTATATAGGGTACACTATATATATATATATATATTATATATATATATATATATTATATATATATATATATATTATAAGGTTCTTGAACTCCTAAGTGGAGCATAGAGCTTCAGTGAAAACGCGCCATCGGGTTCTATTTTGCGCTAAGGCCTTCACCTCATTCCAAGACTTTGCTTGTTTTCTTATCTCGTCCATGATGGATCTTCTCCAAGTTTGTACTGGGCGACCTTTTTTTCGTTTTCCTTGGGGATTCCACTCTAGGGCAGTCTTTGCAATACTGGAGTTATTTTTCGGAGTGTGACCGATCCAACCCCACTTTCTGGACTTTATTTCATTTACTACCCTCTTTTGTTTGGTCAGGTGTAGTAAATCTTCGTTTCTGATGATGTTAGGCCAGAAAATACGAACAATTCTTCGTAGACATTTATTAACAAAGACCTGCAGTTTGTCTGTAAGGGTTTTTGTCGCTTTCCAGGTTTCACATCCGTAAAGTAGTACAGACATGACATTTGACTGGAATATGCGGATCTTTGTCCTCGTAGTGTAGTCTCCAGACCTCCAAACAGGGTTGAGCATGCTGAAAGCTTGTTGCGCTTTTCGTATCCTCATACGAATATCGTCTTCTGTACCTCCGCTTTCTGTTATGACACTTCCAAGATACGTAAAGTTTTCCACACTTTCAATCTGCATGTTATTAATGGTGAATAGCGTGTTGTTTCTTGCATTTATTCTCATGGATTTGGTTTTACCAATATTGATTTTCAAACCTATTTTATTGGCTTCAGTGGAAAGTGTTTCCAATTGGTCAGTCACATCTTGGAACCTTTGTCCTAACAGGCAGATATCGTCGGCGTATTCTAGATCGCTTAGGCGTGTGGTTAACGTCCATTGTATCCCTCTTGTGTCAGAGTCTAGTTTGGAGAGAACATAGTCTAGAGCTATGTTTAAAAAGAAACGGAGAAAGCACGCATCCCTGTCTGACTCCAGTAAGTAAGTCAAATTCGTCACTGTTGATCCCATTGTGTGTCACGCTGCATTTCGCTTCAGTGTACAGTGACATTTATAATGGAAATTATTTTATGCGGGATGTTTCTTAGACTCTAAAATTTTCCATATCGCATCAATGAGATAAGCTGTCAAAAGCAGCTCGAAATCAACAAAAACCATGTATAGGGGTGTGTTCCATTCAACCGATTGTTCCATTATTAGCCTCACAGTATTAATGTGGTCTATGCAGGAGGATTCTGGTCTAAAGCCTACTTGATTAGCTCGAAATTCAACCTTGTTTATTAATCTTTTAAGTATGATGGTCGTGAAGATTTTTATTTATGGCGGTAAGCAATGGTTATTCCTCTCCCAATTTTTGCATAGTGTGAGGTTGCCCTTTTTTACACTACTTGCATCTTTTTTGTATATATGTATGTAAGTATTTACGAGGTATTAGATATGTTATGTATACAGGCATTTTTTATAGAATTAATTTGGTTTTTTGTGTATTCTCTTATTTAATTCGAAAGCGTGTATGTTCCTGATTTCTCAGTATATCGCCAAACTAACTCCAAATTGTTTCGCTTTGTATAAAAAGTTTTGAATTCCGAAAGAACGTTAATGTTTGTTTCATCGACTTCGAGAACGCTTTCGATCGAGTACAACACCATAGACTTTTCGGTTGTCTGAGGGCGACAGGACTTGACGATCTACGATTACTTATACTACAATCAAGTAGCCTCTATCCAAATTCAAGATAGTCGTACTGAAAAACTATCCATCAAACGTAGAGTACGAGTTTTGTCACGCATTATTTTTAATCTATACTCTAAAGAAATCTTTAGGAAGGCTTTGGATGACAAAACTGGGCAAAGAAGTAATCAATAATATCAGATACGCCGAAATCAGACAATTTACCAGATCTTCAGACATTAGTCTTCGAATTGTGATGCTATCGACGGAAAAATATTGTGGGTTTCACACACTTCCAATGAAGATGTTCTTAAAACGATGAATTTAACTTCTGCTTATCATAGAAAGGAAAAACTGTACTTCGGCCATAAAATTAGAGAAACCAAATACCATCTACTTCGCCTTATAATACAAGGAAAACTAGAGGGAAAGGGATGATTTGGTTGAAAGAAACTTTCATGGCTGCGTAATATGATGATGGAGGATATGATGATGACGTTTGAATACGGACACGGCACCTAAAGTAGAAGAATGTTTTAAAAACCTGTCGTTAGCCCAAAAATCCGTTTTTGACATGTGCATTGAAACGAATTTTACTATAGATAAACTAAGCAGAAAAAGCGCAAAAATGTTGTTGTTTTAAATAGTAAAAAATCTTTTCGGCGTCAACAACACAACAATAATATGATTTTTAAAACCTAGAAACATTGCACAATCTAAATATATCTACTAACTACATGTTTATCGTGACTTAATATTTTTTACTTACCCCAGCGTATTCCATTAATTGATCTATATTCAGTTCTACAAACGTTTCATTCCTAAACAGTTCCATCTGGTTTTTCTTGTGTCTGGCTTTTTCATAATCTTCAACCTCGATCGCGTACCGTTTTTCTAATTCATATTTTGCTAATTTCTCGCCCGCTACTCTTAATTTGGTCATAGCACTTTTTAATTTCCTAGCATACTCAAATCTTTCATCTACAACAAATTGAAAATAGACTCGAATAAGCTGCTGATTATCAGAAAGCGAAATGTTTGGAAGAGTCAAAAATTAATTTATGTAACTATGAATAAAAATCTTTGCAATTTGACGAAACTTTTTATTTGTAAAGTGAAAATGTATAAAATAGTAAAAACACATAAAATAAAAGTCATGTATCATGTGTAGCAAGAGATATATGTTATCTACTAAATTTCAGACAGACTACTAACGTGGGCATCGTTGGTTGCCTAAGGTGTAGAGATCATCATCATCAATCAGCCTGAGTTGTCTATTGTTGAACATAGGCCTCTAGACTTTTCTATCTGCTTCTGTTCTGCGCCTCTGCTATCCAATTGGTCACGATTCTTTCTTTCTTTTTTTTTCGGTAGGCACGGCGAAGAAGAAGATCTTCGGTACGACGTGGATGGCGGAAGTGGCATCCCTGGATTTTAGGGATGGTATAAATCAAAACCGATAGCGTCTGACTCTATATTCGGCGGGTGTCAACAGCGTCCTGTACCCATAATGGGCGGCTGAACTAAAAACTCGTCAATACGCAAAGCAAGCGTGACGTTTTAATTGCTATTTACCCCTTTATTATGTCAGATACGAATACAAAAACGGATTTACCCCAGGTGTGTAGAAAGAAAAAAAAAGTGTAGAGATAGAGATCATTATTATCGTGTATAATGTCATGAGAGAACATTTTGAATGATATTTCACAAGACACATAATGCACCATATCAAAGAAACATAATCTTTATTTATTTGTGAAGAATATTAAATGTACAATTATTATAAGCTATAGTACTTTGCCCATCCTTTTCTACCAAAGCATGATTTTGTGTATTAATAACCTGTAGCATTTGGAAACTCGAAGCTCCAGCTTCATTTGTTGTTCTGAGATTTTCGATCAACTTCTGGTGGTGACTGGAATTCAGCTGCAGATATGGTTTTAGAGAGCTTAATTAACTCCTGTTCAGAAACACCTTGTTTGAACAAGGCTGACAAGCTGAAGATCGATGAGAATGGTTTGTTATTTTATGTTTTTTGTGTGTATTCCATAAAATCTCATTGGAGATTTTATCGCAAAAATTGGCCAAGGCCGAAGATCTGACCTGGTAGGTAGGGATGGGAAAAACCTACCGGTTTTAACCGAAAACCGGTTTTTTTACTTCGAAATAACCGGTTCTATCGGTAGTGTTTTTGTCCCGGTTATAACCGGTTTTTATATTTTAAAGTAAAAACCGGTTATTAGGTTTTTACGGTGATTAGGATTAGGTTAGGTATTATTTTGGATCCCACCCAATCATAATTATTATTCTCAAGTAATTATTCCAAACAAAACTAAAATTCAATTTTTATTTTATTTTATAAATACAGAAACAAACTGAAAGTGCAAGCTCACATCAGCCAGAAACAATTAAATTTTTATTATAGTATTTCGTTGAAAAAGTATTTGTAATCATAAATATTTTTACCTAACAAGTGATCTGGTATTTATACATCATCTATTTTTCACACATTGACTCTTGACATTGAAAGTGGGTGAATGGCTTTTTCTGATTACCAAAAATAATTACTATGAAATATCGAATTACCGATTACGAATACGAATCTCCAAGGATTTCCCTACGTTTTCAAAACGATTTATATCCATAACAGAAGTCGTAAATGAGTTTAAATGTACCTACATAATATTATACAAAATATACGAACGTGTTAAAAGTAATACATGATAATTTTTTTTGATGGTAGAAAAAATAAAAGATGAATTGCATGATCCAATTTATTTTAAAGTAAAATATTTATGTTGATATTATTTTCGTTAAATCCCATTTGAAAGAGTTGAAAGAGTTTTATTTACATTGATATTGATGCTCTTTCGATAGTACTAATTTTGATCATATTGATATCGAGTCTAATTTAGTATCGCAAACTAAAGTGCATTGTAAATGTAACTTTCTAATCTATTAGATTAAAAAAAAAACGAAAACCGGTTTTTGCAAAAACCGGTGTTTTTTTTGGCCGGCCATCCCTACTGGTAGGTGAATATGGACTAGGGGAAAGCAATGAAAGAGGCGATAGATTATACCAGTTCTGTCAAGAACATGACATGATAATCGCAAATACATGGTTCAAATTACACAAAAGAAGGTTATACACATGGAGGGGGCCAGGAGATAATTCACTACATATGATTAGAAATCAGATAGACTATATTCTGGAAAACAAGAGATTTAAGAATGGGGTCACCAGAGTAACGACATATCCTGGTGCAGATATCGGTTCAGATCATAACCCTCTAATAACTGACATCAAAGTGAAGCTCAAAACAGTCCAAGAACGCCCCAAAACACCAAAATTAACAAAACAAAACGTTAATAGGAAATGACTTAAACAATGAGCTAAAGAAACCAATAAATGAAAACAACACAGAAATATGGAACACATTTAAAGATCTTTGCGACTGCAGAAACTCAAGCCTTTCAAGCCATGGCAATTGACTTGAAACCATATTCTTGAAGAATATAGTTAGGTGGAAGTGGGAAAGGAGTCTGTCCTTTTTTTATTTTTTTACAATAAAATCTTTATTTTTAATTAATAAATTAATAAATTTTTGATTTTAAAACTTAACAAGGTATGAAATTTTCAATATTAAAATGTATTTATTTTTTTTATTACACGTAATTTTGAATAAAAATAGATTTGTTCCAACACAACGAAAAACCATTACGTAACTTTTTATTACACTGCTTTTCTGTCCAAAAATTGACGAAACGTTTTTAAAAAACTTTCAAAATATATTCAACCGAAAATTTCATTGAATTTTCATTGAATTTTTTAGACTATTGTCGACAATATTTCATTAAACAATTGTTCTATTCTAAAAAGTATTCAATGCCTTCGTTCCAAGCGACTCGTTAGCAACTCAAGTTGCTATCAACAAGTCCTCCAAGTCCACCAACACTTTGTCTCAGGACCAGCAACTCCTGTAGAGTCTTACGTTGCCGTGTGATCAATTCCACTTGTAACTATAACATCATAACATATAAGATCCAATAATGTAACCTAAATTAAAATTAATAACATTTAACGGGTTTTTACCCAAATATATAGTGGCTCAAAACATGTACACCTAGACACACTGATTCCGAAAATGTTTTTTTATGTAGCCCTATTGGGTGTTTTAATTATATATATTTTATAAAGGATTTTAAATAAATGTTCTGTGATACATGCTATACAGCCAGCTACAGGAACTTGGTTTCCTTGTGGAAGATAATAAAAAGCCTGTTGTAGAATTTATTAATATTTGAAAATATTAAGAAAGTAAGGGGAATAAACCGAAATTTTAATTGAAATACTTTTATTTGACTCCAAGTTCCATTTTGTATTTTGAGAACGATTTCAGAAGTGATAAACGTATTATCAATAAAAATTGTGGTAATTTATGAACTTGTACGTAACATCTAATGCCCATAGTTTAAGAAACATATGTAACATGTTGCATGTTATTTATTGCACTGTTAAATTGCCACGTAAAACTCTATTGTATGTGATCACGAATTGGAAAAATTAAAATACGTGAATAGTAACTTACTTATCACAGCTAAGTGTTTCTTTATTTCCATTTCCTTAACAATTTTGGCAACATCTACGTCAACGTACATTAAAAAAGCCAAGTCGTCGTAAGGTGAATAATACTCAGGGTCGTTTAATATATCAAATAATTTGGCATCCTCATCTTCGGGATTAGAAGGACGTCTGAATTTTATATCAGTACCAAGAATATTAACTGCTATAAGGCTAACCTGAAAATAAAACGCATATAAAATATCTCATTATAATTTTTTCTCCGTTTAACACGTTGTATAACAGAACAATGTTGGTATATTACACCAAAATGATAGTTTTGTGGTGAGGTGCATTTAGTTATTTAAATATTCAGGAGACCTTGATTTTCCGGTAAAATCGCGAAAAAATGAGAAAACGTCGGTTTTAGGGATCTGGAATAACGCTTGCCACGCTTTGAGCAGGTGTTTCTTGGTTCTTCAAAGGGTCAGAGTTCCTTTTCGGGACCAAGACGAAGCGATTGTACCTGATATGTACGTGTGCTCCAACTATACAGGTCCCTTTTAATCTATTTTCGGATAAAATTTCGAAAAAAAAAAAAAAAAAAAATGAAAAAAAACGTCGATTTTAGGGACTGAATAACCGCTTGCCACGCTTTGAGCAGGTGTTTCTTGGTTCTTCAAAGGGTCAAAATTCATTCTGAGGATCAAGACGAAGTGATTGGTACCTAATATGTACGTGTGCTTCAACTATACAGGTCTCTTAATCTATTTTTGGATAAAATCCCGAAAAAATGAAAAAGAAACGTCGATTTTAGTGACTGAATAACCGCTTGCCACGCTTTGAGTAGGTGTTTCTTGGCTCTTCAAAGGGTCAGAGTTCCTTCTGGAGACCAAGACGAAGCGATTGATACCTAATATGTACGTGTGCTCCAAGTATAGAGTCTCTTTCACTCGTTTTTCGAGGCAGATCGCTAGAAGATGAAATAGCTTTAGCGAACAAATCAGTTTTTTTGTTGGAAAAAACAAATTTGCCTTTTTTTTGAGGCTCGCACCTGAAAACATGTTTTTTGGAATCAACCTACAGAAAAAAATTGTTACTGCGGTTGTACGGGCAGCAAATTGCAATATCACCATATTTGGCTCGGTGCGAATTTTTGTAGAATTCCTCATTTACACTTAGTCGAAAATTACAGAAATTTTTTTGCAAAGTTGCAGACCAGCAACTGGGCCCAAATTACTTCCACGGCCCAGAGTGGCTAAACTACAATTTTCCACGGAACATTTACATTGGAATTTTGGCTAATGGAGTACCTAATTTCTTTTTACGGATGAGTAGAGATACTGTCTTCACTCATCAGATGGGAAAGAACGAGTATGGCGTCGAACTGGAGACAGATTTGGAGTGCGCTTTCAGCCTTCAGTCCCAGTGTTAACCGAGGAGGAGGTCGGTGATGGTATGAGCAGTAATATCCCGAAAGGCGTACACTTTTCTCAATATATCGGCTATGATTTTCTATCAATGCAAGATAATGCGCGACCCCACTCTACAATGTGTGTCACGCAATATTTAGAGGAAGTTGGTATTAATAAAATGAACCGGTTAGCATGTTCGCCAGATCTGAACCCAATAGAGCACGTTTTGAACATTGCTAGAAATATTAGAAATCGCGAAGTCACACCAGCTCATCGAGCAAAAAAAACAGAAGGGGGAATGTAAAGGTAGTGGGGGCCAAAATATTTTTAGACGAGAGACCATTTTGAGAGGCCACATTAATCAAGGAAAGAGAGTCTCTTTCCTTGTTTAAGAAATCAAATTTAGTTGGGTTATGTTTGTTTTGCTTTTTTTGCATCTGGGTGTAGATGAAATTTAATACTAGGGATGATAACAGTAATGAATTTAACGTATCAAATATGGAAGAAATCCAGGACGATTTGTATCACACTTGTTTCTAACACATTCTTCTTACTGAGGTGTATTGGCAAGAGCGCGCGGTATTATCACGTTTTCAGGCAGACGGACTGCATTTGCGTAAAGAAAAGTGCATTTTTTGAACAAAAATCATAGAATTTATTTGTTTTCAAATTAGTGAAGATGGTTTACTCCTACTAAAGACAAAATCCCTGTCATAACTAATGCACCTGCTCCAACCAATAAAACCGAGTTGCAAGCTTTTCTTGAACTTTTAAATTTTTATCACGTTTTCGGAAGAAGACAAAACAAAAGCTTTTGATTTATTAAAAGATATTTTAGCGAAAGAACCAGTATTAGGACATTACAGTGAACAAAAGATTTATTTTGTCAGCCCTTACGAAGTAGTTTGTCTGCTTAGTCAATGTAATGATGAGGGACATGAATATCCAGTGGCGTATCATAGCCGTACTCTATCATCTCCTGAACAAAATTTGGACCAAATCGACAACGAAGCACTGGCCATAATATCGGGCGTTAGAAAGTTCCGTGAATATGTATATGGCAGGAAAATTAGCATATTAACAGACCATAAATCATTGCTGAGTATTTTTAATCAAAAAAAAAAGGTGTTACAGAGATACTATTATGCAGAATTCTTAGATGGGCTTTTTCTGAGTTAGATGGGTTATCTGCCTATAATTATCAATTATGTTACGTACCATGCTCAAAATTCAGAATGCAGATGCTCTTAGTAGATTGCCACAAAGGTAGATGCGCCAGAACCACCAAGCTCAGATGACGTATTGATGCTTGAAAACATTCAGAAAAACTAATGTGTGCCAAAGACATACCAATAAGATAAGAAAGACCATGTATTATCTAAGTTTTCAGTAGGCATGAAAGTTGCCCATGAGACAATTATTTTCAGACGAATATAAGTCCGTATTTCTACAACGTACAAATGGAAATTATCTATTTTCAATACTTAACCCTTTTTTAATGGGGTACACAATGGTTCATAGTCCTTTCTTGGAGGGGAGGAAAACCATACTGAAATTTGCTTCACTCAGTACACCCAGGAACCATTTTATAATTGAAGTCATTGGCTCGCTAATACGTTTGGGTGGCCAAATCTCGAACAAAACAAATCGAACACTTTGTTAACTACATTGCAGTGAGTGTCTGGAAGGGTCTTAGAGAACATGCCAATAAAAGGCAGGATAAAAGGGGTTGTGCTATCTATCATTTTCATATAATGATATAAGTGAAAAAACTACCATCCGTATCAGTTTGCTTTCACACTTACAGTGAAACGGCTAAATTATGATGAATATTGTCATTATTTTTCGATGAACCGTCGAGTTTTGAGGGAAATCCCGAAATAGGTCGATTTTTTGTTATAAAAATACCCTTGCTTATAACGTGCATGAAGTAGGGATGACGTCACCGTGTATGGTGATAGTAACCGTTAATCGTCAATTTTTTCAAATTGGAATAGAATCGGTATAATGCGACACCTCATTTAACCGAGAATTTAAGTCTCTCTTTAACGCAATTACATTTTTAAACGAAAATATTTTTTTTTTTAGGGACAAAAAAATTTTTTTAATTTAACTTTAAACACAAATTACAACTAGTGATTTAATTTCAATAATGTATTTTAATTAAGTAACCAAACTGATGCATATACTCCATTCGCTTAGCTCGGCATATTGTTGAACAGATTCATTGTCGGAAACCTACACACACAACCAATTGCTATTCTCAGTATTAATAGCTCAAGTATACTACTATTGCAGACTTCTTTCTTTGAAAAAAGAAGAATTATTCTAAATAGTGGAAGTTTACACTAAACTCATCAAATTTTGGGTAGTTAATTTAAAAAATATATTTTAATTGTTATAATTTACTTAACTAATTATTATATGGTGCAGATAAATAAATATTGATTGTCGGTAATTTGCAAATTTTATTTTATTTACTATTAGTTTGTTTATCTTAATTATTGGCTATGATACATGTGCTTGGTTGTATATGTAAATTTTCAGCCACTTTTAGTCTGTCAAAAAAATAATTAACTAAATTAACTAGGGACAGTTCGGACTGGGAAATAGCGATCCCTGTTTTAACAAATTATTTTTAAATTAAATGTTCGAAAATGCCATCTCATCGGTTGCTGTCATGGACTTTCCTGATGTAAATACTTTAAATAAAGCAAATAAAAAAAATTAAGTAAAAAATGAATAATGGACACAAAACGTTATCTCATAAAACACTTGAAACTGTTTGTCAATTGTTACTTCCAAGCATAGTGGCATAGTTACTGTAATATTTATTGACCGTTAATGATTTTGGAATTCTGTGAAATTGTCTTCAGTTGTCCCATCTGACCCATCAGCCAATCAACAGTAAGTACAGTAGTCCGAAAATTTGGAGAAACTGGGCAACGTTAAACCATATTCCAAACGCTAGGCGTCTTAAAAATTGAGGACAATGTGCAACTTTGATATTTTATTAAATGTACATGTACATGACAATCCTCACAGTAGTTCAACACAAATGGTGAATATGCTGGAGTTTCCCAACGATCGGTATTACGTATTTTAAAAAAAAAGAAAATACCATCCCTACAAAATTCAACTACATCAGGAATTAAACGACGACGATCCGATCGCCGGCTTCAATTTTCTGAAATTATGCAGGATTTATGTATCCGCAATCCACATTTCATCAATCAAATCCTTTTTTCCGATGAAGCCACATTTTTTATACATGGTACCGTGAATCGTCAAAATTGCAGATATTGGAGTCAAGAAAACCACATTGGATGACTGAGTCACACACGCAATATCCTCAGAAAGTAAATGTATGGGCAGGGATCATTATTGACAGAATCATTGGCCCTTTTTTCTTTGAAGAAAATCTAACAGGAGAACGTTATTTAACTTTTTTGAGAAATCAACTTATACCTGTCCTTGCTAACATGTATCCAAATGCCAATAATCCAAATTTACCTAGTGAAAATATCTGGTTTCAACAAGATGGAGCCCCTTCGCATTACGCACGTGAAGTACGTCAATTTTTAAATCATTGCTTTCCCAGGAGGTGGATCGGAAGACGAGGTTTTATAGAGTGGCCAGCAAGGTCGCCAGATCTAACACCTCTAGACTTTTTCCTGTGGGGTTACATAAAATCAAAAGTTTATGTCAATAGACCCAAAACTTACAGGACTTGAAAGATAGAATTAGGCATGAAATGAGTCTAATTACTCCAGAAGTCATCTGCAATGTACTTGATGAATGTGTCCGTAGATTCGCATATTGTCAAGAAACCGATGGATGGCATTTCAAACATTTAATTTAAAATAATTATATGCATAATTTGTTACTTTAAAGTACATTATTAATTAATCATTAGTTGTAATTTAGTTGAATTTAAATTAAAAAAAATTGTTTTTGTACCCTTAAAAAATATTTTAGTTAAAAATGTAATGTCGTTAAATAGAGAATTAAATTCTCGATTAAAATGAGGTGTCGCATTATACCGATTTCTATCGCCGCCAGATATCAGACAAGCGAAGGACAAAACGTATTTTAGAGTGGATACCAAGGCAAGAAGCAATACGGAGCAGAAGACGCCCACCAATTAGAAGGACTGACGATCTGAAGCGTGTTAATAACTGGATTCAAGCCGCACAAAACAGAGACAGATGGGAAGAGCTGAGGGAGATCTATGCCCAGCAGTGGACGCATACAGGTTAATGATGATGATGATAGTTAACCAAGTTAACGATTTTGTCGATGGAAAAGAACTAAAGAAATGTCTTAAAATGCTAGTTTTTATGACTGTTTCATGAACTAGTTTACTAGGGATCGCGGAAAATTTACACTACAAGTAAGCGTGTAGTAAGTATTTTTTTAATATCATTTTAATGTATATCCCTTTTCTAAAATGTCCCTGCACGACACTGGATATTATTCTGTTAATCGCTTTGGAAATAAATTAAGTATTCCATACGTATGACCCACATTGCACAGAAATCCATGTTTATAACAGCTGAAAACGGCATAAAGAAGATATTTTCAAATAACAATTCAAAATTATGTCAGATAAAAACATAATTTGTGTTCTTACCTGGTTATGTTGATTTAAAGCATTAAAATGATTGTTATTCAAATTAATTTTAATGAACGTCACTTCTTTTTTAGGTATACTAGCAGATTTTAACTCTCTACTTTTAAATTCTGTTGTTTCATTCGTGGACAATGTAATATACCCTAAATATTCCCATTTTATATTCCCCACATCTTCGGCTAAGTTGGTATCCTCATTACTAAGAAATAATTCAACTTTGGTAGCTAAAAAATATTTTTAAATGATATATAACATCGCATTAGTATATTTTACGTACAAATCATAAACTGATGAGCTAAAATTTGAATCTTGTTCAGTATACACCTGGTTTCTAATTTTAAAACAATCTCTTGTGGGTATTTGCAATCTTTTTCCGATTGCCATCCTTTCACTATGGGTCCGTGCGTATTTAATTCCAAATATTTGTATTTAGGATCTTCACCTAAAACTCAATATTACACTAACCTCTCCAGAAACATATTTCTACTTACTTGTTGCAAAAATCGTTGTGAAGCGGATAGTTTTCGGCATATTGCAGCTATTTGGAAATCATCTTTTAATGTTTGACTCTATTATATACAAAATATTGATTATTTCGGTACCACACATGGGAAATTCTCTTTTATTACTTATTTTGAAGCAATGTATTGATTTTCTTGTAAAATTTATTTTCTTCTAGCGTGCGCGCGCTAGGTATACCATAAATTAGCACAAATATATAAAAGGACTAAATACATCACTGGTTTTAGTTAGGTATTAGAATTTAAAACAACCGTAGAACGTTTGATGAATACGCATTTTGTCTAATGAAAAAGCAATAATTATGTTTAAATTCAAATTTTTAATTTACACTGGCCTGTATCTCTTTATTTATTCAGCCATCGTACACAACAACTTAAGTGATTCAACATAATAATTTACTTACTGTATATAGTAAAAATAAACCTAAATTTTGAACTAATTTTTATTTAATGTAATACTTTCTAACAGATCGACATAAATCGAGTATTTTCTTTGTGTTGAAATATTTCAACAATGGCATTATTTAGGTGCAGAGCGGAACACTGAAACACTGAAAACCCTGAAAGCTGACAACAGTCAACAATGCCATATCACGCCATATCCAGACCAATCCAGACTGTCCAGAGTACAGAGTACATAGTTAGTATCGGTCACAGAATAATATTTATTCTGTGGTATGGTACATAGCCCATGGACATGCCATGAACTCTGATTTTTCTGTGATTCCTCCTTCCTCCAGCTATCAAATTTTAACTTGGTGGCGTAAGGTGAATAAAGGAAGAAGAAGTAACTTGGTAGGGTTATGTTTACTATTTTTAAATATTGCCGGCATAGATTTTAATAATGTTATTTTCAGCCGAAATTACAGATTTCCGCATAATTCACAACGTACTTAAATCCATTGCGGTAAAAGATGTAAGGTTTATTTATATGTAATTGAAGTAACTTCATAAAAATATTTTTTGTAGTATGTCATAGTGCGTCCCATGGAGGAAGGTCTAAAGCTGACCCTTGATGAGATGAAATGTATTGAAACATCAATTTACATTCCTTCTTCGATATTCAGTTCCTACCTCGTAGATAGTAATGAAGATATAATTTTTAAAATGAGTTTGAAAGTTTTCGTAGAAATATTGCACATATTTGGAGATGAAGGAAACCCTACGTTTAAACTCTCGTACGCAACTATTGGTGCACCGTTATGTATTGTGTAAGATTATATTGTGTCTATACCACGTAATTTTTAAAATCTATTCTTTTTAGAATGAATGAAGTGGAGGAAAACATTATTGTGGATTGTGAGATACGAACAATGAATGTTGATGATTTCACTGATGTTAGTTTAGCAGACGAATGTAATTTAAACAAAATGGTTATAGGAGCAAATATTTTGGCAGAACTCTTAAATCGCTTAAATAATTCTGCAGATGATCTAAAAGTCACATTAACTCCTGATCCCCCATATTTTACATTAAGTACAACTGGAATTGCTGTAAGTTTTTGATCCAATGCTCTGTTCTTATATGTCTCACAATATTCAGTCATATTTTATTGTAAATATTGTACATTCTAGTTAATAAACAACTATATTTTACATTTCAGGGTGAGTCAGAAGTCAATATATCAAAAAACTCTGAAGCTGTTACACTATTTCAATGCCAGAAAACCACCACAGCCATTTACAGTTTTTCTAATATAAGATACATTTTAAAAGTAATGGGTTATGCTGACAAAGTGGCTATATCTACAGGGGAATCAGGACTGCTGGGTTTACAACTTGTCATATCTTCAGATGATAGGCAATTGTATGTGGAGTACTATGTAACCTCACAGTATTTAACAGATTAATGGATGATTTGGATAGATGGTTAATATCGACTGAATTTCTAATAATTCAGCTGTTAGAAAGTTCCACAGATGAGTATGTTATAGAACTACTGATAATACAAGTTTATGTGGTAATTTCAAGTGATTAAGGAAAATTCTAATTATGAGATTAAATGTTTTGATCATGACTTTATAAAAGATTTTCTAAGTGATTTATTTTGCACCAATAAATTTTTCTTTAGCAACTATTCAGTCATTTTGGTTCTAAATTAAACATTTCCGTTTAAGAAGGTAGCCAAACAATTATTTTTCTTTAAAAAAAAACTAATTTTTTAATAAAAATAAGTAAAAATTATCTAGGGGTCATTTTTATTTAGGATTATTTATTTCCCCTACTAATATTATTATGATGGATTGCCAAATAGCTGTCAAAATGTTAGGATGCTTCAAAAAGTTAGGTTAGAAAGAAGGAGAGGAGATTTCCATTATATTCTTAATTTTCTTAAATCTCCCAAAAAATGTGTTTGAAGTCCTGGTCCCACTAATTAACGATTCCTTTGGAAAAGGTATATTTCCAGAGTGCCTAAAGACAGCCATTATTATTCCTCTTTATAAGGATGGTGAAAAATCGAATGTCTGCAACTATAGACCTATTGCCTTACTACAGGTCCTATCCAAAATTATTGAAAGACTGATAGAACACTGACATGTCCTTTCTCGTTGAAAACAGCATTTTATCACAAAGTCAGTTCAGTTTTTTATCTAATAAATGTACCAGTGATGCTATGTTTTCTGTGCTACATGAGGTCTAATAAGCACTAAACAATAATCTTTACACTGCCACGTTTCTTGTGACTATGCCAAAGCTTTTGATGGTGTAAAATATGACATTTTGATAAAAAAAACTAAATTTCTACGGAATTCAAGGTATTTCTTTGAATTGGTTCAAATCTTACTTGAAGAATAGGAAACAACTAGTTAGAGCAAATGATAATAACTACTCACAAAAGCATTGTTTGTGGAGTACAAGGTTCAGTGATGGGTACTCTACTTTTCCTGATCTTTATAGATGACATCACTAACTTAAAAATAGATGGAAATTTTTTTCTTTTTGCTGATGATACCAGTATTACCTGGAGGATCTCTAATATTGCAACTCTTCATACAACTATAACTTCTGATCCACTTAAAATCAAAACCTGGTCCAACTCTTAATTTACTCTCTTTTAACATGGATAAGACAGTAGCATTATCCTATAAACTCTTCAACCCTTGCTTCTTAACAGCCAGATCAGTATCATTGATTCTGTAAAATTTCTTGGTATTTTTATATACAGCAACCTTAAATGGTCCCTTCATATCGATATGTTAAGTAAGAAACTAGCCTCGGCATACTATGCAATAAGATACAGTATCTTTTTGGCCTCAGTAGAATAACACATTGCAGAAGCTACTTCAAAAATCGCATTTTTGTGGAGTAACTAAAACTAACTTTGGAGACTTCATGTATTAGATTTTCTACTTCTTCTTTCTTAAAGTTTGTGTTATGTCTTGCCATGAATATTTTTATTTTACTCCATACCAGCTCTATAAGATTTAGATTCACAATGATATGGAGGTAATCATAGCAACTTAACATTCTCTCATCATACTGCGATTTAAAATGAGCTACAACATCCATCAATTCTGATTTTAGGTAACCTTCTTCGAAATAAATATCCTTTGAACGCAACCACTCCTTTATTTCTTCCTTATTGCCAGAGTTGTTCGAAATTATTTCCAACTTCCTGGAGTTATACGAAGTTTAGTTTTAAACCAATTTTCGAAAAGAGGTCCATCCATTTCGTCATAGGAGCCATTACTTCCTACATGCAGTAAAACGAACCGTGGGCCACGTGCAGTAGGGGGTTTCAAACCTGTAGTGAGTCCACGAACAAATGCATCCCTATGTGATGATACGAAAGTGTCCCTCCATTCATAATTGACACTGTGACCAATATTTACCCATGATTCATCCAAATATTTACCAAATGTTGTCTCGCAAATATTGATGGCGCCAGAATAATTTGGGTTTTTCTATCAACATTGACTTTCTGGTATGCATGTAGTTCTAGAAAATTAGGTAGATGTTCGTCTTTATTTACTACTGCTAATAGAAAATGTAATGTTGGGGGTGTATTCTTACAAAAAAATCATGCACTATTCGACGAATGCTTTGTTCCTTCATATGATAATGAAGTTAGCTTGTTCTTGGATCGTCTCTTTGCTGGTTGTAATCCAAGTGCCGAGGAATTTTCTTTCCACAGCGAATAAAAAAAAGTCATTGTTGATTTTTCCATATTTATTTATAAATAACGAACATGTACATAATAAAAATATTAATAAACTATACATTTTTTTATATCTGTAGCATTTAAAATGCTCCACAGTTTGCAGTCGATCAAAAATCCTCTACAGGTTTTTTATATTTTTTATCCACTCCTTAAATTATAAAAGATACAACTAAAATCATCTATTATAAGTGTTTTTACAACTTTTAAAATGTCCCTGGTAATTAGTAAAAATTAATATTAAATTCTAAATTAAAATCTATTTATAAAATACGACAACTAGCCTCTACAATCTTATGATTATATTTAGTCAGTGTCTTGACTGGGACTAGTGGGAGAATAGTTAGGAGAAGAAGGTGAATACCTAGGAGCCGCGGGGGAATATATGGGCGAAGCAGGAGAGAACGTTGGGCTATTGGGTGTGAATGTAGGACTCGCAGGGGAATATTTTGTACTGTGGATGGAGGAGAATTGTGGAGAAGTTGGTGAATAATTTGGTGAATTAGGCGAATAACTCGAAGATGAGGGTGAATATCGACTGCTAGCTGCTGGCGTATGGTGTGGACTTGACAGGGAGTAATTGGGCGAGGTTGGGAGTAAATTGGTGAAGTGGGGGAATATTGCGGACTTCCTCCAGAAAATGATGGAGATGTTGGCGAATAATTGGGTGAAGTCGGTGAATATTTGGGCGAAGAAGGCGAATAATTTGGAGATGTTGGAGAATACTGAGGAGATGTGAGAGAGTAACTGTTTGAACTTGGTGAAAAACTAGGAGATCCTGGGGTGTATCTAGGAGAGGACGGTGAATAATTAGGAGAAGTGGGACTGTAATTAGGAGAAGTAGGAGAGTAATTAGGAGATGAAGGCGAATAACTAGGAGAAGTAGGTGAGTAACTCGGTGAAGTTGGTGAATAACCGGGCGAACCTGATGCGGAGTAACTTGGAGATGTGGGTGAGTAGTTGCGGGACGTGGGACTATAACCTGGAGAAGTCGGAGGGCAACTAGGCGAAGTGGGTGAATAGTTAGGAGATGTTGGTGAATAGTTAGGAGATGTTGGACTGTAGCTGGGAGATGTAGGGGAATAATTTGGAGATGTCGGTGAATAACTAGGTGAGGTTGGGGAGTAACTGCGTGAAGTGGGAGAATAATTAGGACTGGTAGGGCTGTAATTGAGACTGGCAGGTGAATAACCCCCAGGAGAACTGGGAGAATATCCTGGAGAAGTCGGCGTCATCGATGGTGAAGTAGGTTGGAACGCAGGACTTGATGGACTGTAGGAAGGCGATTGGCCGTGGGGAGAAGCCATATATGGCGACATCGCAGGAGACTGTGGTGTCGGTGACCAACCGCCATAAGCTGGTGACATTCCTGATGCATCTGACGCAGCTGATGGGGAGAAAGCGGCCCCACCCGGTGTCATTCCACTCCCCATTAAATCTGCAAGAACAAAATTATATATTTTACAAATTAAAATCTGATACAGTCAAAACTGTACAAAAGTATTTGAAGTTAGTACTATAAATACTTTACTTTCAGTGTTTCAGTCATTTTAGAACTTGAAATCTAAGTAAAATGAGTTTAAGTATATAATTATGACATGGGCAACAAAGTAAGTTTTCGAGTGTGTCATAAGACATTGTGTCTGTCTCATGATATAGGAGAGAAGAAGTAGGCAGCATACAACTAGTCCTAGACATTTTTTGATATCGTTTTCAACAAATCAAATTGCATAAGAATTGATTGAAATTAATAACTCTTTTTGATTCCAGACCTATATAATTAACACTCCTCTAAGACACGCTCCAATTGATGATAATTTCAAAAGTGTTATTAACTCAGAACAGGATATTGTTGTTTTTATTTCATTTCTAAATTGGTTTTTGTTTTTATTAATTAGTTCAAAATAAAATATTTTAACAAGCTGAATTTATCTTTCACTTTATTATGTAATATAATATATACAAAACATAGTAAAAGTACTGATACTTAAACTCATTAAGTACTTAAAAAAGATACTTTAAGTAAAAATTTGATATATTTAATACTTAATACTTAAATATTAGAATTCAAGTAATAAGTTTTCATGTACCTCTAAAAATGCATGTATTGGTATTGGTACTTTTATTTTTGAAAATTACTGGTACCTAATACTTAAATATATTTTATAAGTACTTGAAACAACTCTAGATATAGTAGAAATATATAAATACATAATATAGAAATATATAAACAGAAACTTACTCTGTGGAGACCAGATACTGCCAACATAGGGTGTAGCTGCTTGATTCCATGGAGTCATAGCACCGCCGGGACTCATACTGCTGGGTGTAGCGGCTAATCCGAAGAACATTCCTGAAGCCATTAAATCGCTGCTGTGTGCTTGAGGTATGGCAATTCCCATTTTGCATTTTTCGGCGTCCAGCAAAAGATCGAAACAGCCTGTGCCCATTCTTGGTAGTTGACCAAGGATAATGTTTTCAGATACACCTCTCATCGGATCGACCTGAAGAAATAAAAGTGTTTCTAATACGTTTATGTCATAAAGGTCTATTTTAGATGTATTATGTGTTTAAATTTGAGCGATAGAGTCCTAGTTATCAAACTCATGATAAAGAATATGACTGCAACACTGGCTCAAAACTTAAAAGTGTCTAAATATCAATTTGGATTCATAAAATACTTTTCAACACGTGAGCCAGTACCACAGAGTAGGTATACTAGATTCGCTTAGCTCGGGCATATTTTGACAGATTCGTAGTCAGAAACATATAACACAAAATATCCTACTTCTCAGTAGAAGTAGGATCTACTCAGAATTCAATATAGCATTCTTTAAACCAAAAAAGGATCAATGTTAACTATGCACGGGTTATAGAGATGCTGATAATGGCATTAAATCGAAATTGCAAAAAAAATA